TCCTCATTTTTCTTTTTTTTTTTTTTTTTTTTTTTTTTACGAACAGCACTGTTCTATAACTCCTCATTATCACCCAAAGTCCACAGTTTACATTAGGGTTCACTCTTGGTGTTGCATATTCTACAGGTTTGGACAAATTTATAATGACATGGATCTACCATTATGGTACTATATAGAATAGTTTCACTGCCCTAAAAATCCTCTGTGCTCTGCCTATTTACTCCTCCCTTCCAGCTAGCTCCTGGCAACCACTGATCTTTTTACTGTCTCCACAGTTTTGCCTTTTCCAGAATGCCATGTAGTTGAGGCCATACAGTATGTAGTATTTTCAGATTGGCTTCTTTCACTTAGTAAAAGGCATTAAGTTTCTTCTATGTCTCCCCTGGCTTGATAGCTCATTTCTTTTTAGTGATCAATAATAATCTATCTGGATGTACTACAGTTTATCCATCCACTTACTGAAGGACATCGTGGTTGCTTCCAAGCTTTGGCAATTATGAATAAAGCTGCTATAAATGTCCATGTGCAAGTTTTTGTGTGGACATAAGTTTTCAATTCCTTCGAGTAAACACCAAGGAGTGTGACTGCTGGTACGTATGGTAAAATGATGTTTAGTTTTGTAAGGAACCGCTAAACTGTCTTCTAAAGTGGCTGTACCATTTTGCATCTCCCCCAACAATGAATGAGACTTCCTGTTGCTCCATATCCTCAGCAGCATTTGGTGTTGTCAGTGTTCTGGATTTTGTCCATTCTAATAGGTGCGTTGTGGTATGTTATTGTTGTTTTAATTTGCATTTTCCTGACATATGATGTGGAGCTTCTTTTCAAATGTGCTTATTTGCCATCTGTATATCTTTTTTTGGTGAGTTATCTGTTAAGGTCTCTGGCTCTTTTATAAATCAGGCTGTTTTCTTATTGTTTTCTTTGCATATTTTGGATAAAAGTCCTTAATCAGGTATGTCTTTTGCAAATATTTTCTCCCAGTCTGTGGCTTTTTATTCTCTTGACAGTGTCTTTCACGGAGCAGAACAATTTTAATTTTAATGAAGTCCAGCTTGTCAATTCTTTCCTTCATGGATCATGCCTTTGGTCTTTTATTTAAAAAGTCATCCCAAACCCACGGTCATCTAGAGTTTCTCCTGGGTAATCTCCTAGGAGTTTTGCTGAAAAGACTAAGCATTTGCTTATTTTCACATTATTTCCAGTGACCTCTGATATTTTCAAACACAAGAAACACCCTGGGCCACATGTGGTTCTAGCCTATTTTTTTTTTTAAGGCAGATTCTTGCTCTGTCTCCCTAGGTAGAGTGCAGTGGCGTTATCATAGCTCACTGAAACCTTAAACTCCTGGGCTCAAGTGATCCTCCTACCTCAGCCTCCTGAGTAGGTGGGACTACAGGTGCATGCCACCATGCCTGGCTAATTTTTATATTTTTTGTAGAGATGGGGGTCTCACTCTTGCTCAGACTGGTCTTGAACTCCTGAGCTCAAGTAGTCTTCCCACCTCGGCCTCCCAAAGTGCTAGGATTACAGGCATGAGCCACTTTGCCAGGCCAGTATTTAATGTCTTCATTATTAATATCATCCTCTTGTATTTCTTCACTTCTACTTAGGCCATCTTGTTCTGCCCTGACCTTCTTCACTTAGTGTTGCCAAAGTTAGCAAATAAAAATACACGGCATCCAGTTAAATTTGAGTTTTGGATAAACAACAAATAATTTAATGCTCCAGTTCCCCTGAACTCTGGCTTTGCAAAAGCATTCCTTCCTCGTTAGAAGAGAGTAGCCTCTTTGACAGCAGAGATCTCACCTGGGCAGATGCCTTTCAAGATAACCCTTGTCCTCCTCAAAAAAAAATCTGTCCCCACCTCCCTGAATTGGTAAAAAATAACTGGATTGGTCTTAGCACAGCCCCAGTGGGAGGTCAGTGCTATAAGAAAAAATGGCTTACTCACTGAAAGTGTTGCAGAATATAGCTAAAATTATTGGCAGGAACCAAAGGAACATATCTTGGAATGGATCTAGAGGTCCTGGACTGGGAGGGAGGGCACTCATGCCAGTGTGCTGAATATAAAGCTAGGATATGGGGGGGCATGTTGATAGAGGGTCATTCTTCCATGCTTCAGGCTTCAATGTCCTGGCAAATACATCTGGACACAATCTTTGGTAGGCAGAATAATGGCTCCCAGAGATGGCTACATCCTAAACCCCAAACCTGTGAATAAGGTTGCAGAATGGGATTAAAGTTGCTCATCAACTGACCTCAAGATCAGAAGATTATCCAAATGACCCCAATATAATCAAAAGGGTCCTTCAAAGTGGAAGAGGGTCAGAGGTTAAATGTGACCACTGAAGAGATGCACATTGCTGTCTTTGAATATAGAGAAAGGGACTATGAACCAAGCGGTGTGGGTGGCCTCTAGAAGCTAGAAAAGTCAAGGACACAGATTGTTCCTAAAAGCCTCCACAAAGGAACACATCCCTCTGTGGGAGGTTGGGTTTCCTTGGAGAACCTTCCAATTCTACCACAAGTATATGCAGTAAATATTCTCCCCAAAGGCCTGTGGCTGTTCCCTATAGTATACTAGGGAAAGGGAATACCCAGACCTTTTCAGGCTATTGGATACAGAGTCTAAGATGACACAGATCTAAAACTGCATGACTGCCCTCCAGATACAGGCTAGTTGATAAATGGAGCCCTAGCCCCAATTCATCCCAGCGGGCCCAGTGGGCCCAGAGATCCACCCCCCGGCCATGTTCCTGAGAGGACTGGGATGGATGTGCGTAGCATGGAGATCAATGCCTAGCACACTGGTTACCTAACCTGGGAGGCTGTGGGAGGATGGGCCAAGTAGAAACACCTGGGCATCCTTGTCCCTCCCCAGCCATTTAAGATGATATATTAGAAACAATACCATATCCTGCATGGAACTGGATTACTGCTGCCCTCAAAGATGGAAAAGACTCAGTTCTTTTGTATGGCTCCTGTAAAAAAAATACAGGAATTGTGGCTGATGATGGTTGTTTGCTATAAATCTAATCACAAGTGCTGTGCAGGGTGCGCTCTTCACACCAACATGGCCTCTGGCTCTTGGTATGCATCTACTGATCTGTGAAAACACTCTTTTTACTCTTCATCAGTACTGAGGATCAAAAGCAGTTCACAAACAGGAAGGACTTCAGAATACATTCTCTCGATCCAGGGCTGTGTCAGCCCTCCTGCTATTCCACATAGGGAACCTGGCTTTCTGGACATTCCAAAGAACATCTTTCTGGTAATGACATCATAATGGTCAGACCTGGTGAATGGGAAGTGGCAAGGGTTTTTGGATCCCTCAGGAAAACACATGCAGGGGTTGGGAGATAAATCCTACAGATTCAAGGGCCTTCTAGATCAGTGAAGTTCTTCAGGGTCTAAATACCTCAGGCATGCTGGGAAATTCTAAGGTAAGAAACAAATTATTCCATCTTGTACTCACTACCAAGAAAGAGTGTTTGGTGGCCTCCTTGGATTTTGGAGGCAACATATACCACATTTAGGAATGCCTTTCCAATCCATTTACTGTGTGAACTGGAGGGCTGCCATTTTCGTGTGTGGCCCACAGCCATACAGCCCAAGTGCCACATGACCTGGCAGACACAATGGTGTTAGAGGTCCCTATGGTAGATAAAACTGTTGTGTAAAGGTCTGATAAGCCCCACTAGGAGCCTGGCAATAGAATACAAGAGCAAAGCCATGCTTCTGCAGCAAAGAACAGTTCACAGCTTGAAAAGCGGCTCCTGGGATGCTGCTGACTGAGGCATCAAGTGACTATGCACTGGAGCTGTTGATTGTAAGCTGAGTATTACTAGGTCCAAGTCATGAGATTGGGTGGACTCAGCAACAATCTGTTACACAAAGGAAATGTCACACTGGGATCAGGCACAAACAAGCAGGCACATAAGCAGGAAGCTGACTGCCCAGCACCTACCTTTGCTGCACTGACCTTTGTCTTCTGCTCACTCCTCTGGATTCATGGAGGCTCCCTTTGCCCAGTTAGTGGAAGAAGAAACAGCCAGGGTCTGTTTCACAGAGGGAACCAAAAGGGCATTGTTTCACTATGGCTTTACTCAGAGTGGCCCTAAAGGCCAGTGTGAAGGGAAATCCAGTAGGCAGAGTTTCAAACAGTATATATACATATATTTTAATAGAAACAAGTTTTTATTAAGTAACTTTTAATATCAGAAAAATAAAACTCTTATAATTCTCTTTACAGCAATCAAGCAGTGTATTTGGCACCAACTTTGTATGGAGGGAGGAGTGGCTTGAGGCAAAGTTCTCATGGATTTCTGTGTTGCAGCAAACAGCAGCCTGGACAAGGGGCCTGCGAGGAGTAAGGCTGGGTCTGGAGACTTGAGGAAGACCTCAGCTTACGAATGGACCTAGAGGAGCTGACACAGCGTGTAGATCTTTGTGTCTTACATCAACTCCATCAGAAAGTACCTTCTGCTGAGAAGGTGTCCTCAATAACAAGGTGTCTGGGAAGACAACGGCAGTAGGGATCTGCGACCCATTCACCTCTCACCAAAGTCAGAGGATGAGAGGCAGCTTCAGGCTTAGTGGGGCTCTTCGTTTCCCTCTGCTGGCCACCAGGGGCACTGCAGATGATAATTAGCTGCTGCCTAATTACTAATTCTTGTGGGTCTTCATCATGGTTAATATAAAAACAGGACAAGTCATCATTAAATGTACTGAGTTTCAGGTGCTGGCAGGACACTCGATGTCCAGCAAGTTACTGCAACAGTAAGAAAATTTGTTTTCAAGAACCACTGACTCTTTTTCAGCAATGCCCTCCTCTCTCCATGGTATACTTGGCTAGTACATGAAGACTTATCACCTGGAGCCTAATCTAATCCCAGGATGGCATACATGAGTGTCCAGAGATCAGAACTGGCACTAGACATGAAACTTTCTTGTCCCTAATCCTGGCATGACAGGCTGCAGAAGGATATTTCAGTGACTACTAATCAGAGGTGGAAAAAACTGTCATAATATGAAGCTAAGCAAGTGATGGAAGGAAGGAGTGAAGCAGTTGAGTTTCTAGGTAACTAGAGTTTCTGGCCAAAAGACATTATAAGGTACAGAGAAAAGTATCTTAGGAGGTCAAAGAGACTACAGTAAGAGAAAAAAGATAGTCTGGATTTAAGGTAATTATATTGTATATGATTTCTGCAGTTTCAGAAGGAGGCTTTTGATTTTAATACTGGCACAGACAGAATATATACCACCAAAATGCACATGAGGCTCACAAAATGTTACCAATAATATAAATGTATTCAGTATGCAGGAAAAAAAACCCGCAACATAGGCCAACATGCATATACTCTTATCTCAATTTTCCAACATACACATTCACAAGTACCAAAAGCTGTTTGCCCCAAATCCAAATTTTCTAAAAGCTAAACCAGTAGGAATAGTTTTTTTTAAAAATCTGTAAGTGTTCACTAACCAATGCATCATTTATGATAATAACAGCCCTGAGGCATTACAAGATGTTACAAGTTTATTCTGAATCTGATTAAATTGTGTCCAATGTGGCTCAATTCTTTACAAATTATAATTCTTGGATATATGTTAAAGTAGTTCAATAGTTTTAATGTTTCTTCCTTAGTTAATTATACTGGATACATATCAGTTTATTCAAAAAGCAATGCTGGCAGGGTCTCCTGGGATCGATCCTAACCGTGGGTGGGGACTCTGCCCCAGCCAGCTGGCAAGTGTGGAACCTGCTGACACTGTCTGAGAACGTCCTGTCTACCATGCTACTGTGGAGCTCTTACTCCTCAAATATTCCTTGATGTTGAGTGAAGCAAATCTATCATTGAAATTCGTATCATAACAGGGCTTCTCCCTGGCATTCATGTTCTGAAATTTAAAAAAACCGAAATAACAGAAGGGCATACTTCACAGTTACGGTGCTTCTCCCTCTCCAGTGTGGACTCTCTGATGTTTGGAAAGATTTGACTTGCTGCAGAAGGTTTTCCCACAATGATTACACCAATAAGGCTTTTCCCCAGTATGGATTCTATGATGTTTATTAAAATTTGAGCTGTGGTTGAAGGCCTTCCCACACTCCTTACATTTATATGGCTTCTCTCCGGTGTGGAGTCTCTGATGTGAACTAAGACCTGCATGCTGACTGAAGCTCTTCCCACATTCATTACACTGATACGGCTTCTCCCCAGTGTGGATTCGGTAGTGTCGAATGAGGCTGCCCTTACCACTGAAAGCCTTTCCACAATCTTTGCACTGATATGGTGCCTCTTCAGTGTGCATCCTCTGGTGTTTAAGGAGGTCTGAGCTCTGCCCGAAGGCTTTCCCACACTTACAGTCATAGGGCCGGTCCACCAAGTGTGTTCTGTAATGAAGCGTGAGGTTTGAGCTGTGGCTGAAAGCTTTCCCACACTTGGTGCATACGTAAGGTTTCTCCCCAGTGTGTGTTCTCCGGTGTTTGGTAAGATTTGAGCTATTGCTAAAGGCTTTTCCACACTCAGCACATATATAACGTCTCTCTCTTGGAGTAAGTTTAGTAGGAACTGATTCTGTACCTTTCTTGGAGCCTGTGTCTTGAAGGGGGGTTTTTGTTCCTCTTTCCTTTTCAAGGTTTACACGCTGCCTTTCTAACCTGGCCTCACATTTACTGGCAATAATCACAGGAATGATATCTTTTTTGAGTCCATCTGCACAAGATTCTTCTTCAGAACCTTTCTGCTCATCGGTTGATTCTTCATTCTGGGTATGTGACTTACAATCTGAAACAGTAAGTAGAGTAAGGATATGTTAGTTGTTTCCTGTTCTGAGGAGGAAACTGTTCCCAGGGAAAAAGTACCATCAGATAACACTGATGGACTCTGAAGGGCGACTAAATATACCTTTACTACAGGTTGCAATATCACATCAATACAAGGAAATCATCATCAAATCTAGTTTACAACATCACTTTCAAATGAACTCCCTGCCGGAAGCTGTTATGGTATGGTGAGTACATAGCTTTTTCTGCCAGGAAATGAACTTCAAATGCAGAGGGCAAAAAGAAACAAGTAAGAATGATTGCTGATGGGCCAGAGTTGATTAAAGAAAATGGCAAGACAATTAAGGGAGAAGTGGCTGAGTGACAAACTCACAAAACCCATATTCTCACAGCAGCTGGGCAGAAATGCAATCAAAGAGGACATTCAGCCATTTATATCATCCCAGTCCCAGATCCTTATTAGCTGGAATGAAAGCACTTTGCCCCTGTGAGGGTTTAACTCTCAGCATTCAACTGGCTATGTCTTGTAATTTAGTTAAAAAGTGACACTGAAGGAATTAGCTGGAGCTAGTCTCCTTAGAACATCTCGCTAGGCAGTTTCACCTCCTCAAAGTCCATCTAGCCACCCACACGCACAGAAAGGGAACTTGAGAGAAATTCATTCTGAAAAATGGGCTCCCTTCGAGAACCATCATCCCTCTGAGGGTACCAAAGCCTCAGTCAGCAAGGTACACCTTCCTTTCCTGAGGAAGTACCTTGACAGTCTCTCTCACTCTCCACCCAACATTCTATTTCTCTCCTCTGCCAGCAGTGAGCATCAGCTGCTAAAGGCCTTTCACGCTCCATAAAGAGCCATCACCTGGCTACATGCACAGACTTCCCTACAAGGTACTGCAGAGCCATGGGCTACCTGTGTGGTAAAGATGTAACTTAATATAACCTCATGAGGCAAGGTTGAAAAAGAATTTACCAGGACCATTTATTTCATTATCTTCCAGCTTGTACTGTTACTGTTGCGAAGCTTGCTATTAGTCTAATCAGAATTCCTCTGGGGGGTAGGCAATCTGTCTTTTATATCTTGGTTACTTTTAAGACACTGTATAAAATTTGACATTCTGCAGGTTTACTGATATATCTATATTTTGTCTCATTTATTTCATGTGGGATTCATTGTTTCCTGAATCTCAGGAATGTCTGCCTTTCATCACTTCTGGACAATTCTTAGCCATTTTCTTCTTTTGAATATGGTCTCTCCTTGACTCACTGTATTCTCCTCTGGAACTGTTATTAAACATATATTGCATAGAACTTGTCTCCTGTTACCCCAATCTGGATACTAAAACCCAAGCCCATTAATGGCTCTGATAATCCTTTTCCACTAGCCCCTTTGGGTAGTACTACCAAGTGGGTATGCCAAGAGAAATGGAAAATGAAACTGACCAGATATATCATTGACTATTTTTATCTTTAATTACTCTGGCAACTCCAGGGAGGCCCCAACTGTCTGGAGAGAAGGATTCGTATTAACCATAAAATGTGAAGAATTTAGCAAACAGTTTGATTTTTTTACTGTTAAAAAATGCTTTTTAATAAAGTTCAAAACTTTGTTTCCAAGATGGAATTTCACATGTTTGGGACACAGTAAGTGTGTGAGGAGGAGAGATTTTTGAGGGCCATGGACTCTTCTCATTAAATCATATCATACACATAAAGAGTGGCCTATACAGACTACACTTATATCGTGGTTTGAAACTATTAAGATTTAGAATAATGTACCTTATTTTTTACAAACATAAAATTAAACATTAACTCTGTTTTAAGAATTTAGTTATAATCCACCAGGTAAATGCAAGTATATAAGAGTAGAAACTGTTAGTGCAAAATAACACAGCTGATAATCATTTATGGCATCTGAGACTGTTCTGTAAACTGTGATTTGTGGAGATTACAGCTGGGGAATACAGTCCCCTGATATACCTTTGACTTCTGAAAAAATGCTCCCCTCTTTCCATAGCTTCAATAAGGAGGCTGCCGATTATTTTCCATTTGCCCTCCCCAGATCCATTCTCAGCCCCACTCTGTGCCCCAGGAAGCTTACTCAAAGGGTGGCACTGCCTCATTTTCCTGCCCTCTGGTTGTCAGTTAGGTTTGATCTAAGGGCAAGAAGAGGATGAAGTTGGGGTATTTATTCCCTTTGTTCTTTCCTCGCCCAGTGGCAGGGCCTAAAGCCACAGCAGCTATCAAGTGATCCCTCCCCCATGGCTGTAGCTCTCATCAGGTTCTGGTAACAGGTTCCCTCCTCTTGTCACTTTAGGTTCACGGGTAGTAACAGCTTTTCATGGTTGTCTGGTGAAGCATTATCCCTACTGGTTCAGTCAACCTATCTACACTTCCATAAACAGTTCCTTTACTAAACTCACTTCAACTGACCCTTTCAGAGTGATCCGTTTCCGTGTGAGGACCCTGGCTAAGATAGCTGTACCTGGGGAAAGGGAACTACTTCCATCTAGTCAGCCCCACAAGTTGAGTTAATCCAGGAATTTCCTCACAGCCAGGAATTATGAATTACTCTGCTTCTTCAACCACAAAGGCCTGGTACACTGGACAGGAGCCTGACAGATGGTCTTTACCTTGAATCTTTGTTGGATCTTGAGTGAAATCCTGCTCCTCACCAGTCTCTTGGATGTACAGGGGCCCCCAAGATTCATATTTGTGACTGGTCTCCACAGGCTGTGGCTGCACACTGCTCGGGGACTTCTTCATTGTTCCTGAAGATGACATCTTCTCCCACACCTGTTTCTGTTCACTTGAAGGAGTTGAGACCTAGAAACAATTAGGAATGGCTGGGTTTGTACACAGCTCACTTAAAGAACTAGAATGAAAACCTCAGGACAGCTATGTGAAATCTCTAGGAAAGAGAAAAGAAAAACACCATCCCATTTAATTCCCAAGGCTAAAGGCTAATTTAGGATAATAGAAGAAAAATAGGAGGAAACATGGTCTAACTCAGTAGAAACTTCCATTCAGTTCATCTTACTGTATGGAAAAACTCTTGGTCCTGCCTAGAATGTCATGCTCCCAATCTCCTAGAATAAAAAAGATCTCCCCCTGCCTACCTGGTGTCCTGGTTCATCCAGTTCTCGCTCCAGATCTTCGAGGAGAGTGACGGCCTCTTCAGCACTCTCTGGGCAGTGCTCCTGCACCCAGGCCTGGAGCTCCTGGGGCAGGATGGTCAGGAACTGCTCCAGCACCAGCAGCTCCAGGATCTGCTCCTTGGTGTGGATCTCAGGCCTCAGCCACTCACAGCACAGCACGCGGAGTTGGCTCAGGGCCTCCCGGGGCCCTGGAGTGTCATGGTACCCAAATTGCCTAAAGCGCTGACGGAACATCTCCAGGCTAGGAAGGCACTTCCCTTTCTCCTCCTCCTCAACTTTCACAATCATGGGCCCCACCTGCTCCTGTGGAGGCCTCGGGCCCAAGACAGTGCCCATGCCCAGTACCTTGGTCATCATAAACTCCAGAAACAGTCTCACTAAAGATGGGACTCTGTGGAGCAGGAATATTAGTTCTTTGGGTTTCTGGTTCTTTAGGGCCACACGTTTCACCTAAGAAAATAAGGTTACCAAAAAATTATCAAAAAGAAGTGTGTGTTTTTTGGTCTTTATAGCCTTACCTTAAGCACATGAAATTGTGAAAATTATGGCCACCAAAAAACTACCACATAAAAGTGACTGTTCAAATTTTCCTGGAATCACCTCAGGATATCCTACTTTGATTTTACTGTTTCCACTCTCCTAAAAAGTGCAGTGTGGCACAATTTTAAAATTAAATTAACATTGCTCAATGACTTGTTTCAGAATCTCACAACTATAGATACCCTAGTTTCTGAGATTTCAAAAAACTATCTACTGGCCAAACATCATCTGTTTATTTATTTATTTTTTTAATCATTTAAACCAAAGACATTTAGCTTGAACATTAAAAATTTACTATTCAGGCCGGGCGCGGTGGCTCACGCCTGTAATCCTAGCTCTCTGGGAGGCCGAGGCGGGCGGATTGCTCGAGGTCGGGAGTTCAAAACCAGCCTGAGCAAGAGCGAGACCCCGTCTCTACTATAAATAGAAAGAAACTAATTGGCCAACTAATATATATAGAAAAAATTAGCCGGGCATGGTGGCGCATGCCTGTAGTCCCAGCTACTTGGGAGGCTGAGACAGAAGGATCGCTTGAGCCCAGGAGTCTGAGGTTGCTGTGAGCTAGGCTGACGCCACGGCACTCACTCTAGCCTAGGCAACAAAGTGAGACTCTGTCTCAAAAAAAAAAAAAAAAAAAAAATTTACTATTCAAATTACTGGGCTTGTCAGTAGGACCAGGTATCATGTTGGAATGGTGGAATTTACTAGTCTATTTAAAAATAATTGAGTATAATTAGTAATGTGATTTTGAACTTCACTTGGCCCATTTTAAGTAGGGTATTCTCAAGTTTTTAAAGTTCCTTTGGCTTTTTACAGAAAGGCAGGTAGAATATAGACAGATTAGACTAAAGTAGCGTACATTCTTATACAGATATTTCAATAAGATATGTTTTGCTGAGAAGAAATTGAGGGAAAAAAATTAAATCATAATAAATGATACAAACATGGCTGGGAGCAGTGGCTCAAGCTTGTAATCCTAGCACTTTGAGAGCCGAGATGGGACCATTGCTTGAGGCCAGGAGTTCAACACCAGCCTGAACAACATCCCGAGACCCTGTCTCTACAAAAAAGTTTTTAAAAAGTTAGCTGGGTGTGGTGGTACACATCTGTAGTCCTAATTACTCAAGAGGCTGAAGTAGGAGGATCGCTTGAGCCCAGGGATTTGAGGTTTCAGTGAGATAGGACAATGCCACTGCACTCTAGCCTGGACAACAGTGAAATCCTACCTCAAAAAAAAAAAAAAAAAAGAAACAAAAAAAGATTCAAACAAAAAATGTTTAAAATCATTTCTTTTAAATATTCTAAATCTTTTTGGTCAGATGATACCTTAGAATACTGAAACATCTGTAGTAAATATAACTACTTCTATTTTCTCCATTTGCCAAAAAAGTGAAGTTAGTTCATTCAACCTACACTGAACACTTGGCCTGTGCTTGCTGCCAGGGCTGCAGTAAAGAATGAGACAGACCCACGCCCACCTTCAGACAGCTCTCAAGCTGGTGGGGCAGATGGAAAACCAATTAGTAAGCAGATGGCAAAGTCAGTTTATCTTTACTGGAGAGACTCATTAAATATATTTTGAAAGAGAAGTACATAAATTAATGAATCTTAAACACCTGTGACTGGCCTTCCTGAGCATGTTTTCCAACTTTAAGCCCTATCTTTCATGTCACATAGGTATCTCATGCTGAATTTGGATCCTTTAGAGCAGGAAAACTCCAGTAGTCCCAATAAAGAGAAACAGATAGGAAGGCCACAGGATCATTTTGAGGCCAGGAGTTCAAGACCAACTTTGGGCAATATAGTGAGACCCTTTCTCTTCAGAAAATTAGAAAATTAGCTGGGTGTGGTGGCATATACCTGTAGTCCCAGATACATGGGAGGCTGAGGTGGGAGAACTGCTTGAGCTCAGGAGTTCGAGAAAAGCCTGGGCAACATAACAAGACCTTGCCTCAAAGGGACAAAAAAAAAAAATCTAGGGCATTAAAAGACCCAATTATGCTGATTTTGCATACACAACAATCTTCATGGATCTGGCTCGACAGCACTTCAAATATCAAAAATCATACATTTAGCCGGGCGCGGTGGCTCACGCCTGTAATCCTAGCACTCTGGGAGGCTGAGGCGGGCGGATTGCTCGAGGTCAGGAGTTCGAAACCAGCCTGAGCAAGAGCAAGACCCCGTCTCTACTATAAATAGAAAGAAATTAATTGGCCAACTAATGTATATATATATATAAAAAAAATTAGCTGGGCATGGTGGCGCATGCCTGTAGTCCCAGCTACTTGGGAGGCTGAGGCAGAAGGATTGCTTGAGCCCAGGAGTTTGAGGTTGCTGTGAGCTAGGCTGACGCCACGGCACTCACTCTAGCCTGGGCAACAAGTGAGACTCTGTCTCAAAAAAAAAAAAAAGTCATACATTTATACATAGTACACACATAACAAAGGAAAAAAGACCAAAACTTAATAAACAGCAATAATGCTGGGTTATGGAATTACAGATGATTTCCATATTCTTCATTCTTTCATAGATTTCCAAATTTTGTTTTTTAAAGAATGGATATTACTACTTTAGTAATTAAAAAATCATAAAATCTTAAAAGGGATCATAAGTAGTCTTTTGACAAACGAGAGTTTTACTGTTAACACTGTATAGAGAAGGTTTATATTTATGGAATTAATGCTGGTGGAATGGCCAGGAGATTTATTAATATAAACATCAGGAAGCAACCCATAGCATGAAGAGGAAAGCTGTAAGGCATAGAAAAAAAACCATACAGAAGCATTTCCCAAAATGTGTTTAAAGGAATTCAAACCAATTATTTGAATAAAGGATTCTTTGGTTAAATAAATCTGTACCCAGTACACTCCTGGGGCACCCAAGTTCATAACTACTTGAAAACTGAACCAGGGAGGAGCAGTGCCATCTAATCTTCTAAAATAAAGGCACAAGCACCAAAGGCTAAAACAAGAAATATAACAGAGGTAGTGGTGCTGGAGAGCATTCTTCAGAAACATTTAAAAGCAGACCTCCTGAGTGGTAGATTGACTTTACATAACTGTTACAAAATTTTACTCTCTATCCAGAGTAGGAAACCCCAAGAACAGTAAAGAAACCTGTTTGGTTCCTTTGAATCTGAGTAAAAGAGAAAAAAGAAAGAAACCTGTCTGGGCCACTCAGCTTCTGTGATCCAGCCTGGGAAACTTGGCAAGACACTAGGAGTTACATAGCATCCAGTGGCATCAAACGGGAAGCATCATATAGCAGTATAACATTCACATAGGATATATTCCGAGAACTTGGTGAATTCAAATTCACAGATGCCACTAACTAGCACATGACTGCTCTGCAAAATGTGTATGTCGTCACAATTACAGAAGAAAAAGTTTCCCTAGATGTTGCCTCTGGGCAGTTGGCCGGGCTAGTTCACTAGCTAAACGATTATACTAGAGCAGCAGTTGTGCAATTTAAACAAATTCAGTGCAGCAAGACTACAAATGAGTAGAGGGCTGGGTGCTTGGGCCCCTTCCTCCTCATTGTACTTGCTCTCCTTGGTGATTTCAGCCAGTTGTGTGGCTTTACTGACCATCTATATACTCAAAACTGCCCAATCTGTATCTCCAATCTGGACCTCCCTTCCTTCAGAACTCCAGACACACACAACCAACACCCACTTGATGTTGTACCTGGATGTCCAATAGGTGTCTCCAACTTATTATGTCCAAAAAGGAATTTCCCATCTTTCCCCCAGTGCTGCTTATTTCAGTTAATGGCAACTCCACTGTTCTGTTTACTTGGACCAAAAAACCTGGAGTCATCTTTGACTCTTGCTTCACATTCTACATACAAACCACAAGCAAATCTTGTTAGCTCTACGTTCAGAAAATACTCCGAGTTCAACTATTTCTCACTACGTCTCACATTACCATCCTAGTCCATCATCTCTGGCCTGAAGCACTATAATAGCCCAACTGCTTCCCTTACTCTATTCACAACACAGCAGCCAGAGTGAGCCTGTCCAAAATACAAGTCACGGTGGGCACAGTGGCTCACACATGTAATCCCAGCACTTAGGGAGGCCAAGGCAGGAGGATCACTTGAGCTTAGGAATTGGAGACCAGCCTGGGCAACGCAGTGAGACCCCATCTCTACAAAAAATTAAAAATTACTGAGCTATGATGACACCACTGCACTCCAGCCTGGGTGACAGAACAAGACCCTGTCTCAGAAAAAAAGAAAAAGAAAAAGAAAAAAACACAAACAAACAAACCAACCAAAGTCAGGCCACATCATCTCTCTGCTCACACCCTTCAAGCCTTCTTGTCTCACAGAGGAAAAGCCAAAGTCAACACAGTGGCCAACAGGGCTTTCTTTACACAATCTCAGCCCCGTCATGTCTGACCTCATCCTTTACTTCTCCCCCTCCTGTTCAATCCACTCCAGCCACACCGTGCCTTGAACATGGGGGGCACACTCCCATCTCACGGCCTTTGCACTTGCTGCTCCCTCTGCCTAACTCTCCCCCAGACTCCACATGCCTCACTCCTTCACCTCCCTCAGGTCCGTACTCAGAAGTTACCTTCCGCTGAGGCATACCAGGTGACCTGTTTTAAACTGTACACTGCCCTCCCTCGCCCCAGAACTCCTGAGCCCCCTTCTCTACTCTTTTTCTCCACATCACTTATCATCATACAATATACTACATACACACACTGTATTTTCACTTTTTAAAAAACTGTTTCCTCCCTTGAATATCAACTCTAGAGGGTAGGGACTGTTTTGTTCACTGCTATATTCCAGATGTCTAGACTACACCTGGCACTTTGCAGGTGCTCAAATATGAGTGGAAAGAATGTACATACATCTCTGGGGGCTACTCTTAAGTAGTAAAAACTATGAAAAGAGGTTTTAAAAAATAATATTATCAACACAAATTTAATATTGATACCAACATTACAAATTTAAGTTAAATACTTAATAAAAATATGGTAGTATAAACTCATGTTTAGCTTTATATTGGTACAGATGGATACCAAATTAGGTAAGTGTGTATATATGGGTTAGTACACATACATTTATTTCCTAGCTTTGTCTGCTGTGAAGGCCTAGAAGCAATGACATTCCAGCAGCAATGAGCACATCCAGCTCCCAGATCTTGGTTTCTAAATATCGTTCTGTAATAAAAGGAACCAGGAAATAGAGAAATGGCTGATTCTTGGTTGGGGAATATACAAGATGGGCCTGGAACATATTATAGTGCCAAAAAGTTTTCAGAAAACAAAATGATGGGGGTACATCAAAGAGACACGGAAGCCACACTTAAAAAGAAAAAAAAAAAAGCTCTCAATGGTCACAGCTGAAATAATTTGAACAAAATAACTAACATAGTCCTGGATTACAACCCAAAGTATAAAATAAATATCCATGAGTCTATACCAGGCATCCTTAAACTATGGCCCATGGGCCACAATCTGCCTGCCTAGGACATTTATCCTGCCCATCAGGTGTTTTTGCCGTAGCTGCCTGTCCTGCTTAGCAGCCAACTCGTCCTGGGCCCACAGTGCGCATTCTCCAACGGTCTGAGGGATAGTGAACTGGCCCCCTGGTCTGTACTGATATATTAAAAAAGTGAGTGAACAAATGAAGAGGGGAGAAGAGACAAATTTCTTGCACAGAAGAATTGTAAGTAATTCATATTTCATATTTAACTCCCCACCTCTTAAGTTTGAACAGCACTTAGGGATTTACTTTCAAAAAGTAGCACATGGAAAGACGTGGCAGGAAAGTACCCAGAGTGAAGGATCTTGGCAAACATTACCTCAGCCACGTTATCAAGGTTAACATCATCAGTGATAAGTCATGTTGATAGCACATTCCCTGACAAATGATGGGCACTTCACCTGTTTTCCTTCCCCAAACCCAGAAAGCCCAGTCTAACCGAGAAAAAAATATTAGACAAACCCAAATTGAAGGACCTTCTACAAACTGACCAGTACCCCTCAAAACTGTCAAGGTCATCAAAAACAAGGAAAGGCTGCAAAATTGTCACTGACTACAAGACACTAAATAGACATGAAGACTAATGCAATGTGGTATCTATATGGGATCCCGGAACAGAAAAAGGACATTAGAGAAAAACCAGTGAAATCTGAATATACTGTGGAGGTTGGTTGATTGCAATGTACCAACTGAGGAACCATATTGGTCCCTCAGCTGTGACAAATGAACATAGTAAATGTAAGATGATAACAATAAGGGAAACTAGGTGAGAGGTGTATGGGAACTCATTGTATTATCTTTGTGGTTTGCTATAAATCTAAAACTATTCTAAAATAAAACACTTATTTAAATAAAAAAATTATGGGGCATTGGGGGGAAAAAGCAGCTTTGGTTAGTGCTGTTCCATTATAGAAGGGTAGTAAAGAGAAATACAGCTGTTAACTTCAACAACATTTATGATTTTCAAGCAGATTCTTACAGTTAATTGGATATTTAAAAACTTTTGAAGCCCTTTTCTGATTATTTAAAAAAATAAGTGCCTGCCTTTTCTCTAGGAGCAACAATAGTTAATTTCTGATTCTTTTCCAACAATTGTCAGAACATTGGCCTAATACGTTTCTAGCAGATCTATTTTATTTATTTATTTAGTTTTATGGTCTAGCAGATCTATTTTAAATGTAACACAATGCCTATTTTTTAATTTGACCAAATACCTTTGACTTTTAACTAGCTGGCAACATTCTGAAAATATCTTTCTTTGAATTCACACAAGCCATTTTCCAGTTTGGCAATTTTATTGCCACAGGCTCAAAGGCTATCTGCAGGGTTTAAAATACAAATCTGCTCATATCATTCAGCTGCTTAAAACTCTTCAATATCTTTGTAAGAAAAGTCACAATCTGGTCTCTGCCTCTCCATTCATTCTCATCATTTCCTTTCTCATTCTCTATGCTCTATCAATGCCCAATACTTGTGGTATGCTTCTGTCTTTCAAGTCTCAGTTTAGCAATTAATCCATGAAAAGATGCTTAACTTTAGTTACAAGAACAGAAATGCAAATTAAAGCTACAATGAAATGATTCCATGTATCAAATTCACAAGATTAAAAAAATCTGATTATGCACTATCTTATTATTTCTTTTCCTCCTTGAAGAAAGCTGGTAATTTCACATTTTTGTCTAAAGGTTCATATAGGGATGCTCTCCAGGTCTTGGCTTTTGAATTTTTCAATAGAAAAACAGAGTCTTCATAAAGAACTCACATTGTCTTCAATGACAGTGGATTACTTTTTAAAAACTGTCTAAAATGTTTAGCTCAAGAGGCCCATCAAACAAAAGTTCATGATCAATAGCAGGCCTTTGTTCTGTTCCCAGTTTTTCCCCTTCCTTTATGCCAATTTCCCAAAGCTTACATGCCGTTATAAAACTGTCCAAAACCCTTCTGGAAGATGAGGCATAAATAAAATCAAATTATCACAGATTCTATCAACTGAACAGCACGTACTACTGCTAGAATACCTTTAATACATCTCACTCTGTCAATGAAAACTCCTAGGCAAGCAAATTAGATAATTCTTGAGGCACAGAATCCTACTATTGGACGGTTTTAATTGTTACAAAGTCTTCTTTAAGCTGAACCAAATTGTGCGTCACTTGAAAGATCCTAGTTCGGTCCTAGACCAATACTCACTTTCCCCATAGCAGCCTTCAGTAATTGAAAACAAGTGTCTTGCACAGTTCAACTGGTGGGTTTCCAAGTACCTCACACACCAAATCACCTTTCCTTGACACTCTATTTATAAATAGTTCTCTAAAAATGTTAGTTTCCAAACGAGCAGATGTTATATGTATGCTTCGTAACACTAACAAAGCCACAAGGGAGTAAGTCCCTCCCTTAGATTGGACACCACCCAAGGTTTCTAAGACCTCTAATGAGGTTCCCAACCCCTGCGGCGCGTTCCCATCAATTAGCCTCCAGATCAACGAGGAAAAGAAGCAGCCACAGTCAGACTGACAAACGACTCGTCTTAGGGAACGCACAGAAAAACTCTTCTAGAACGCGAAAGAGACTAGGTACCATTTGTCAAAAGCCCTGCGTAGAGGGAAAGGCTTTCCGGTGAGCCGGCGCCTCCACCAGCTGGGGCTGGGTGGGGACGGGGGCTCCTCCCCACAGCCCTCCTAGGACCGGTCTGGGGGCGTCCCCGGAGGCCACAGCTGCTAAACCCACTCCTTCCTCTCCAAACCTTCGGGCCAAGGCTCCCTTGTTCGTCCGCCACGCTAACCAGGTATCAGCAAGCTCACCGTAAGTCAGAGCCGCTCTAGACGCCGGAGAAAGCACCACGCACCGCGGGCCGGCGGGACCGGAAGCGCGTCATAGCTCCGCCCCGCGGAGGGTTTGTGGGGCCGTGACGGCCCCTCTAGGAAATGGGCAGGTCTTCTTGGCATCTCGGTGTCTTGGGCCTTCGCTGGCCACTGAGGCGTGTGTGGGAGGAGCTGGGTTGTCCCCCAAGGCGAACAGTTTGAGACCTTGCCTACTGTTTTTACCCAGGGTCTGGTCCTGCAAAACTCACATTTGTTGAGGGACAATATGCCTGCACACGGAATTCCCTGTCTAAATGCACCGTAAATTTATACATACTTGACATCATTTTCCTATGATGTATTCTAGGATCATTTTTAAAAAGTTTATTTTCAAAGACATTCAAGAGTAGAGAACATGACATAATGAATCTCCTTGTACCCACTGACCAGCTTCAACAATTACCACGTCAAAGTTTTCATTCATTCCCCCATGCGCTTCCCACTGGATTATTTTGAAGCAAGCCTCAGACAAAATTATCATTTTCCTAATATATATGGTTTCAGTTCTTTATTGCATAAAAAACTACTGCAAAACTTAGTCCCTTGGCTAAGCATGGTGACTCGTGCCTGTAACCCCAGCACTTTGGCAGGCCAGGGTGGGAGGATCACTGAAGCCCAGGAGCCTGAGGTTTCAGTGAGCCATGACAATGCTATTGTACTCTAGCCCTAGCAACAGAGCGAAACCCTGTCTCCAAAAAAAAAGCCAAGACAAAAAACCAAAACTCCCATAATGCCTTAACATAATAATTACTTAATATTTTTCACATAATCTCATAAATCTGTGGGGTGGCTGGGTTGTTCTGCTTCCTATAGAGTCAACTGAGGAGGTAGGATGGCTGGCAGTTGGTACTGGCGCCCTAGACTGGAGCTCAGATGGGGATGTTTGTCTGGGGCCTTGGTTCTCCTTCATGTGAGTCTCTTTGCATGGCTGCTTGGGCTTCTTTGTGGCATTCCTCGAAAGGAGCATTTTAAGAGGTGAAGGTGGAACTTGTAGATGTCTTAAGCTCAGCCTTGGAAGTTACATAGAATAATTTCTACCACATTTGGTTTATAAAACAGGTTATTGGGCCAGAATCAAGGGGAGGAAAAACACCCTCTATCTCTTGGTCACATTTCAGGAGTATGTGGGAGATAATGGACCATTATCTGGGGTTGTGACCATTTTTGGAAACAATCTGTTACTCACATATTTACATTCATTGGCTTGATTCTATGAAGTATTATAATCCTTAGTATATTTACCCTGTGAAATTTTATAGATCAGGAAACTCGGGCTTAGAAAACTAACTTTTCCAAAGTCACACAACTGATATGTGGGACAGTCAAGATTCAAACTTGGCTCTCTTTTCCCCAAAGCATGCGCTCTTAGGTACTATACTTGCTCTGAGTTTAGAACTGGGAAAACAGATGGGGAATGGGAACAGGATCACTGGGGCACAGGGAAGAACTAGGAAACCTGTGCACATTCCATGAGTGCCCCCACCCTTCCATCAATGCTTTGTCGATGCTCCATCTGGCCTCAGTCAAAGGGTCTTTGCCTAGTCATGAAACCACTAAGTGATATGCAGGCTTGAAGAAAATCCTTCTAATTCCAAGCCCATTGTTGGAATGGGCTGTGGTGCGCCCATAAAGCAAAGGGGCTTAGAGTTGTAAAATATTAATGTCCAAAGAGACTTTAATTGCCATACAAGTTAAAGGCCCCTTGGCCAAGACAAGCAAAAGGGCTGTAATTGGTCCCAGGGGGATGGTCAGGTACTGTCAGCCAAGTTAAAGGGCTAGAGTAGGCTACTTGGCCACCCCAAGCAAATGGGCTGAAATTGACCCATAGGGGATGACTGGGTATTGCCGGCCAAGTCAAAGGCCTGAAATAGGACCCTCTCCACCCCATGTTAAAGGGCTGAAGCTGGCCCCTATGGGATGATGGGATATTGCTGGCCAAGTTATAGGGCCAAAACATGCCACTTGGCCACCCCCACAAAAAGGCTAACATTGGCCTATTTTGTATGGTTGGGTATGGCTGCCCAAGTTGAAGTGCCGGAACAGGACACTTTGCCACCCCGAGCAAAAGGGCTGAAATTGTTTTCAGATGAAGAAACTAGTGCCTGAAGAAGTCAAATCCAAGGCACACTAGTTAATTAGCTCATTGGTAGCGGAGCTGAGAGTACCAGCCAGATTCTCTGATCAATCTTGTGTGCTTGCTATACCTCAAGGGATTTTCAAAATTATCATTAGAAAGATCAATATGCTGTCCATCCAAATCACATTGTATTAAAACTAATTTAGGATATCCATTATTTTCTTCCGTTAATATAACCATGACCATATGACAAAAACCCAAGAGATTAGACAAAAGAAATGTTAGTATGACTGGTGACTTACTATGATGTGTTATATGTATTTCCTCTTCAGAATGGTTTTGATTTCCAAAGTTCATTCAATAATTATCAAGAACTTACAATATGTCAGGCATTATGTTAAGACACAAACATTTAAAAATGAAAAATACACAGCTCTTGGCAGATATGTAAACAAATAATTACAGATATGGTCAATGATAATAGAAATGAGTCCAACAAATGTTGACTGAAGGAATTTGTCACCTTGGTTATCCACAGTGTAACCACTCATAACATGCACATGTTGTTCCTATTATGGCCCTCTGCTGCTAACCCTTTCCATGGCAAAGCACTTACCACTTTAGAAGATACTTCCCTCCTTTTGGAGAGTTCTAATTGCTAATAAGTTGCTGAAATTAAAGCAAAAATCTACTCTCCCATAATTTCAATTGACTCTATTCAGTAATTTACTGACTATAGTTATTTTCCTCCACAAAATACATATAGTTGTTGTCCTTGCCAGCCCTTCAGAAGGCTTGAGAACTGTCATGTATGATTGTCTTAAAGGTCACCTACAGCAGTTCCACAATCATGTCTGAAAGTTGCTTCTGAATCTTGGAATGCAAAATGTGTGGGCCTGGAGACACGAACTCACTATGATCTCTGGACTCTCCCACTTTATTTTCTCTATATTACTTTGTTCTTACCTTTTTTTTTTTTTTTTTTTTTTTAAGAGAGACAGGGTCTTGACCAGACTGGGCTCAAGGGATCCTCTCACATCAGCCTCCTGAGTAGCTGGGATTACAGGCGCATACCACCACATCCTGCTATACTCCGTGTTCTTTTGTCTTGGAAGATTATTTGGCTTGACAAAAGAGAAAGGATTGCTGTGCGCTTTGTAGCAGAAATCCAGAAGGGGACAAGCTAGCAGTGTGTACTGTCATCCTGGCTCTTTCCCTTCATTTCCAGCAGGGTGGTCATAGTTCTCTCTTAAAAAGGTGGTTTTCTGGCCGGGCGCGGTGGCTCACGCCTGTAATCCTAGCTCTCTGGGAGGCCGAGGTGGGCGGATTGCTCAAGGTCAGGAGTTCAAAACCAGCCTGAGCAAGAGCGAGACCCCGTCTCTACTATAAATAGAAAGAAATTAATTGGCCAACTGATATGTATATAAAAAAAATTGGCCGGGCATGGTGGCGCATGCCTGTAGTCCCAGCTACTCGGGAGGCTGAGGCAGAAGGATCGCTGGAGCCCAGGAGTGTGAGGTTGCTGTGAGCTAGGCTGACGCCACGGCACTCACTCTAGCCTGGACAACAAAGCGAGACTCTGTCTCAAAAAAAAAAAAAAAAAAAAAAGGTGGTTTTCTGGATCCTCCTTGCTCAGTCTCACCATCGCTTATTTTTGCTGCCATCAGCATGCTCGGCCAGTAGAGGGTGATCAAACCTTGATTTCTGTAAGAGCATGGCTGTGTTGTCACAACTCAACATTTCCTTTTTCTTCCTGGAAGGAGTCCACATATATAGCATGTTGGAAAGCTGCAAAGACATTTGTTAAAGAAAATGAATGGAAAAGACAACAAAAGTGGAGTGGTTTCTTTAACAACTGTTAAAGAGAAAACATTATTCAACAATACTTGTTAAAGCACAGTAAGGAAGACTTTATTCAGGATCATCATGATAGACAGAGGAACCACTGCAATGGAATCCTATAGTAGAGGAGAGAGATTGGGTTCAAACCTGAATATAACATGGGCAACTGGGAATTTATGGACAAGGAGCAGAGTAGGGGGTCAATGGGTGGAAAATTACTAAGAGAAGACATTCTGGTTCTTGCTGAAGGCAAGCTAGGGTGATCGGACATCACATAGGGGATGGTGGAGGATGAGGAACCTGATCAAATCTCAAGGGTGTAAAGGAAAAGAAAAATCTGAGGACCTCCCCGCCCCCAACTCCTTATGCAAAAAGAAAGGTCAAACCTGGAGGCTGAGTCATGCAACACCCTCTTCCTTTCACATGAACAGCTGTTACTAGCATCAGTGAGAAAGGTAAAAGGCCTCAGGCAACTATAAGGACTGTCCCCACAGATCATAAGAAAATTCCTTGCTGGCTTCCCATAAGCAAGGACATGAAAATTGCAACTTTGGGTCTGCAGGCTAGGTCTAGCTCCTAAAATTAAATGTTTAATTCCACACAAATAATGTTGAGTCCAAGTTTATCTTCCCATGTGCAGAACAGAGACAAGACAGGATCAAACGTTCTTCCGCCTACCTGGGAACATCTACGTAACTGATGCTTTCTTCACTCTTTTTTTCTTCTAACATTCCTTTTATCTTATGTAAAATATAGATTTCCTAGACCTGACAAGAATGTAACCATTTGTATCACTGCCCACACTCCACTTCTCCTTTCTTCTGCTTGTATATCCTATCCCCTTTAAAAACTAAGTTCCCAAATCCTGTTGTGGAAAAAGTCACAGATCCATCTGTGGCCTGTGTTTTTCCCAGGTGTGTCTTCAAACTTTGGCTTAATAAACCTTCATCGATTGAGATCTTTGCCTCAGTAACTTATTTGGGGTTGTCAAAGGTGATCAGATACTGAGGATGGTGAGTTCTTGCTACACTAACTTAGCAGGGTTCTTTGCTTAAACTGGATTTTACAAGGAAGTGCACAGATGGATGTAGCAGAAGATTTAGAAACCTGACTAAAGTTTGGCCAAGCAAAGAATCTTAGTCACACTATGTCTTAGAGCCAGAGCTCTGTTGCTAGTGGGCTTTTGGAGATTTTTGACATCTGGAAAATGAGAATACCTGCTCTGACAACTTTAAAGCATTGGGAAAAGATTAAATTATAACATGTGAGAGAAAACTAGCTTTGTGAAGTAGCTTGGTAAAGAAAAAACTTGCAAATAGTAAGGGATTTTGAATCCTCCAAATTCTTGGCTACATTATTTCTTCTGATCTCTCTGGTGTAAAGTCAGACTCCCAGGGTTAGGTGTGGCTCCACCCATCACAGACCCTTTTTCTGTTCTGCCCTTTCTGGAGAGGGTCACCTGCCATCGCCACATCTGTCCTTTATTATTCTTAACACTCAAGGCATGGCCTGATACTGTTTGTTGAAAGGATTTAGTTCTACTTACCAGAAACATGCAGAACAAATCGAATCCCTCTTCTAACAGGACAGGCTCAGATGTTTGAGGGCAGAGACCATGTTCCTTGTTTTTTCTTTACCAAGCTAAACACTTTATTGCTCACATGAGGTGGTTTTCAACTCCATCAAATGGACTCAATTGCCAACTCAATCCCTGCCCTTTTACCATGCTGGTCTGTTCTTTCATAATGTGGAACCTAGAACCAAATGCAGAGCACACAGCGACAGCTAATCCCGGTAGGGCAGAGTTAGCCTATTGCCTCCCAGGTTCAAGAATCTGGAACAGAGCCTGGGCTGAAGACAGGAGACATGGTGGCAATTACTGCAAAGGGGCAAAGGTAGTTTGGGACAAGCAATTTCCATTACTTCAGGGGAACTTTGCTTCCTCAGAGGATTTGGGATTGCAAATCAGCTGTAGGACTGGGGCAGGGGAAAGAACTGAGCAGGGACTTGGGCAACTGGAATCACAGAAGCATGTGAAATGCTGTCCCTAATACCTGGGATTGAAATGGGACCTGTGCTTGGATCCCCAATTTTCACAAAGACCTGGTTTCAAGGTTATGTATTTTAGGGACTCATGGGATGGAGGATACTACCAGCATGTTTCAGGTAAAAAAAGGGGGACTTTCATAAGGGCCAAATGAATTTCAAGAGAAGAGTGACAGGCCCACAGAGGAAACAATAGCTAAAATTTTGGAACACTTGTATCAGGCACTGTTGTGTGTGCTTTACATGTATTAGCTCATTTATTAACTCTAAGCCCATTTTACAGATGAGAAACTAAGACATTCTAAGAAACTTACCCAAGGTCACACAGCAAGCACGTGGTAGATTAAGGATGTAACCCTAGGCAAACTGGCTCCAGTGCCTGTGTGCTTAGCCATCATGCTAGGCTGCTCCATGAACTTAACCACAGGGTCATATTAGTGTTGGATGAAGACGGGTGGTGGGGATTTTGTGGGTTGCAGTTGCAGTTTTTAACTTAAACTGTGAAATCATACTTTGTTGTTTACTCCAAACATGCACTTACACAACCAAGGATGACAAAAAACAAACACTATGAGTAATGCCACCTAGAGATGATAATTTATTGTTTTACCATGACCCAGAAGAGAAACAACATAAAGAGAATATTCATTACAAATCCCCACAATTTCCTCCCCAGCCTCACTACTCTAACATTTGTCAGACACACTGGCCTCCTAAAATGGACCATTGACTATAAATGCGCATAAATTTTATTTTGCTGCCATTTCTCTTATCATTGAAATTTTATACCTCAAAGTTTCAAATTATTATTTTCAATGGAGAGTTCCCTAGCTTAAAAACAAAAAAAACCTTTTCTTCTAAGATTCCATTATTTATTGAAAGAAGCCTTTCTAGAAATGTTAACGAGGATTTTTAACAAATTCAATTTAAAAATCACTTACTGAACATCTACTAAGCACCTGGACTCTTCAGAGCCTAGCAAAATGAAAAAAATTTAGTTTTTAACAGCAATAACTTAATTCTGTGGGTATACAAAGACAAGTAAGTTTCTTCTTTTGGTCTAATTTATTCTAAAGAAAGAAGCTGGGAATTGACAAAACACGACAGGTTGTTTTATCCAGTCTACAAATAAACAAGACAATGCCTGAGTTAGCTCTCTATATAGATTTAGGTTCATGTTGACCTGGTTGCAATAATCTATATTTAACTAAAAGTTAATAAAAATACATATGCTCATTTTAAAATAATTACCGATTTTGCTTGAATACCCCACCCCTTACCCCTAAACTCATATATTTTTAGGACATTATATTCCTGCATAATCACAATCTGCTTCCTCCCACCCCACCCCCCTCATATATGTTTTCAAATAACCCCTGCTACCAGCAGAAGCATCTCTACATCTAACATGCTTTGTCCTTGCTAGGGCAGACTAAAAACTTTAAAAAGCAGCTGGATGCTGTTCCCTGGTTGAGGTGAGGGGAAGGCAAGTGAGCACTAACCCCAACACACCCCCAACAGTCTCCCCTATATCCCTCCTCAGCCCAGAGGGGCTGCTTTAGCCCCTCTTTCCAATTCTCCATCCTAACTCACCTAACCTTGTCAGGGGACTGAATGATAGTGACTCTGGGTGGTTGCAGCTGCCTGGTCACTTTGGTTTTAGGACCAAAGGAATTTAAAACTCAAACCTGAAACTGGAATGAAATCCAAGTTTTAATACCACCTTTTAATCAATCACAGATCTCATTCTTTATATCTTAAAATACTCAGCATCACTGCTTAATGAATGCTTGCTGAAGGGAGAAAATTTAACTTTAAAGATCAATTAACTTTGCTGATTACTGAGTAATTTCAAGTGAGTCATGATTGTTTAGTAAGTGGAGATGAGAGTCTCAAAGATTAAAATCATAGCAGACCGTGGTTTAGAAGTCTATGTAACGCCCACTGTTTCCCTTTCATTGTTTTAGGATAACAGAAAACATGAGATTGGTGGTGCCCACTATTAAACAGAACCAGACAATACAAAATTATGTTCTCATGTTAAGACATTCTGTATTATGGGATGTCAAAAGTATTTCCAAAACTTTTGTTTGACCTGCAGAATTGGAGATGGCTTACCTCCCTATAACTTCAAGTTTGTTTCACAAAGCTTTGAAAAGTAAAACAGATAATTTCATCTTCAGATATAATAAAAAATTAATCTGAATAGCAAAATAAGTAACTGCTTTTAAATGTACAGTAGTGTGTCTATTCTAAAAATGAAACCTAAATCTACATTAGGAAAACTTTTCAAACAATAATGCATTTTATTAAATTCTCCAGTAGTAGTTGAAATAAAAATCTACCCTAATTTCTATGAAATGATCTATTGTATAATTAAGTGGTATACACTTAATTTTTTCTCTGATTCTATATTTCACTTAAAAATCTGCAGACCTTCATTTGATTTCCCAGATGGGGAAACCCCAGCCCCCTCATGTTTCTGAGAAGTTGCTCAGAGTGGGACACAGAAATATAGCTCCTCTGGCAAGTATTGCTGTCATTGTTTGACTGCATTTCAATACTGTTAACTCCAATTCATACACAGAGTCTTCCATGAGGATGGCAGGATGAACCTGGTTAGCTGGCTTTGGGTAAGTAGATCAGCATGACTACCTGGAATAAAGGTGACCAACTCTAGGATAAAAAAAAAAAAATCTTTCACAGCTATGACCCTTCACAACCCCTGTCCTAATAAGCACAAACCAGGGGAAGAGAGTGGGAACAGGGAAGGTACATAGGAAGCACGGCCAAAGGGAATATTGCAAAATGCTTCCCAAGTCTTAACAGACAAACTTACTGCAACACCACAGCTGGATGTATCTGTGCCTCTTTCCTGGGAAAGCCCACCTTGGTGTTTCCCTGTCTCAAATTTCCTAAGCAGAAAGATTTAAGAGTTAGTTGGGAAGCCAGGACTATAATTTAGTGCCCGATCAGCTTACATGGTCCCCCTGGTCATTCTGGGAACTCCCTACTCTCAACTCTCGGAGAATACCCTCCTTCCCCACTGCTAAGAGGATCATTCCCTTTGCTTGCAATGGTCAGAAGTCAACTTCCCAGTTTTGAAGAGAAAACTCTCAAGTGGCAGATGTTTATAGTTGTTCCATTTTAGTGCCCCATTAATCTGTTTCTCCTTGCAAATTTACCAATCTTTGCTCTTGACTTGGTAAACACCAAACTATGAAGCCCTCATTTTCCCCCTTCTCAGTTCTGTGCACTTTGTCTATAACCACATCAATTTCACTATTCACTCCAAAACTTTGCTCTTTTGGAGTAATGTGTTCTGTCAAATAGATTAAAATACATCATCTGCTTACAGGTAATATACAGAACAACAGGAGTTGGAGGTACAAAACACACACTGACATTATGGTCATACAAAATATGTAAATACCCAACATTAACAATTTTTGTAAGAAGTTGTCCATTTTGCTATTTCTTTAGTACTTCCCCACATTTTTTTTTTCAGTAGATCCTCTGGACTGAGCTCCCTCTGCATGGTTTCTCAGATTCATCACATGATTGGAACATCCTGACAGAATTTTCTGTCCGAAGCAATGAAAGCTATACATGAAAGTTCTTCTCACATATAATATTAATAAAGTTTATTTACAGTGTAAGCTTTCTGATGCTAAGGGGTGAGATGTGATTAAAGGCTTTGCCATATTCATCACATTCAAGAGGTTCCTTTCCGGAATAAATTCTCTGACGTATATAAGATGTGAATTGTTGCATATATCAAACATCTCAATCTTTCTACACGTATTTAGCACAGTTTTACTTTTATGTCTTTACTATTAAGTACCTTACATATCGAGATGTCTCATATATCTATATTCTCAGGTTTTAGCCTTGCCAGCCAGGCTGGAGTAGAAACAAACACAACTTGAAGAATTTTACTTTTCTTCCTGGCAAGGGTAAGGTATATATTTTTAAAAAACTCTTTCAAAACTTCCACTAGGTCAACTAGCACGTTAATGGTTAACTATAGAGTTCTTAAACTGTTAACAGACTTCAGCCAGTCAAGGACTTTCCAGTAACTATCCTGAGCACTAATTAGATGTTGCAAGCATTTTTGACCATGATCCAATTACACTTTGCACTGAGCATCTGATAAATGAATGCAGTGCAAATGGTTTTAATAAACAGGCATAGCCTCTTTTCCTCAGAAAACACATCTTCAAATAGTTGCTTCAAGGAATGCATCTACTGAAGATCCAAAGCAACCCCAATGGCTATCCAACATAGTCAGTAAGATGTCCCAATAAAATGGGAACTGAATGTGGGGGCTCAGGTCATATTTAACTTTCATTTAAAAACAAAACCCAAAAATGATGGCTGAATCATATTAGTATGTAGTTGTAGCTAAAAGAGGCCAGTGTGGAACTGGCCAAAGTTGCTTCCCTCTTAAGAACAGTCAGAGCTGGGATGGAGCCTTGAGTTACACAACCCACTTTTAGTTGCTTTCTAGTGGGCAAATGTCCTTGCTCAATTTTCTATGCAACCACTGCTGCAGCTCCTTCTTTGAAGAACATCCTTAAAGCACTTCTACCTCCATTTGACTATGAAAGTTACTTAGCTATACTCTTCTGGAGTATCTCTTCCATTTTTCTTCAGTTGGATAGGTAGAAATATTCTGGTGACTGGTTGACTTACTACTTTAAGTTTTCCCAGGCAATACTGATGGAACTGCTTAGAAGCTATAGGGAAGTTGTGCTTGGTCCAAGTAATAAAGCCAGAGAGGCCAAAGAATGACTGCTGTGCAGAATTTAGTTTGGTCTGGAGCTGAGGCCACATTTTTTCCTCCCTCACTGGTTCTGCATTAAAACCACGCTGTTTCATGGACTGTAGCTGTTGATCAGTGAACAATTGATGATGGTTTTAGTACTGTTTAAGGGAAAACCTCAAACTATTTTTGGGGTTCTTCCATTTTGGGGTGGCCACACTGATAATCTCCAGGTTTGTTCCTAGTCTATGTCTCTAAGTTTTTACAGGGCTGTCCACAATCATTTGATGCTCTCATGAGCAGAGCCATCTCTACCCAACTTCTTGATGACCTAATACATAGCCCATGATACTTGGGTCTTCTGTATGTGTGAAATAGTCTCCATTAATAGCTTCTAGGTAGCCAACTGCATCCTCCTGCACAGATGATGGGAAAGATTAGTTTCATAACCTCACTTCAGTCTTTAGAAATGAGAAACAGAAAAGACACTGTGCACTATGACAATGATATAACCAACCATATCTTAGTACGCTGGATAATGACTCAGAGCAACAAAATATGTTTAGTAATCGCCAGCTAATGACTAATGCTTTTGCAAAGTTTCTGAAAAAGTGTGGAAAAAATGCTCCCCACAACTTTCCCTTTTCTGAAAAGCAACAAAAATCACATCTTCTGAATTCTATTAAGTTACAAATGATTCAGAAAGTGCCCAAGTCATCATATTGTTCACCAGTTGACTGAAGAGAATTCTGGCTAAGATTTCTGCCATTGAAAGATATCAAAAAATGACCTTAGTCAGTGTTCATATTTTTCTTCTTTAAGATGATAACAAGAGTCATTTTGACATTTCATTGTATTTACTTACTGATCTAGGTTTAAAAAGTCTATGCAGGTGGCTAACAAGTGCCTGTCATTTATATTTGGGACAAAAATAGCTTCAGACCCTAGAGGTTTAGCATGCGGTTCTGAATGTCCTCTTTAAAAGTTGGGCCAGGCTACCATATTTCAGGTACTCATAATTCACAGGGCTTTATCATAAATATAAAAGTCCTGCTAGAAGTCAGTCATAGTGAGTGCCTCTTGCGTGTTCAGCACTATGTCCAGTGCTGTGCTGTCAGAGAAAGAAATATATCCCTTGACAATTGAAGCATCTCTTTTGGGGGAAGGGGTGACAAAAACTTCATACATGAAACAATGAAGGATTAAAAGACAGTATACAATCAAGTGCTAACTTGTGGAGAAATGCATTTAGGAGTGCTATAGTGCTTTAGGGATTTCAAGAAGGGAGAGAAATGTTTTCAATCATTGTTGCCATTTCAGTAGAATTGATCTCAGTGATGAGGATAGAACCATCTACATTTGTTGAAGACCTTTGGAACTGTAGACTGGTGCACTTGCCCTCTCTTTTGGGAAGAGACAGAAATCTTTGGTTTGATACTGATTAGCACAGTCCTAGATTTCTATACCTTTGGTAGGCTACCAGTGATCATATATAAAATTTACTGTATATATAACTAGCTTGAGCAGCATGTCCCAATGTAGTTTTTGTTTTAACTGTCCCTCTTCTTTGAGAAATAAGATGTTGGCCAAGTAGGGCTTATTTGCAGCAAGTAGCTTCTTAACCTCAGTATCATGTTCATGGAGCCAATCTCAACCTTTCAATTTTGTTGTGATTGCTGAGAGTCTAATAGCGCCTTAAAGGTATCCTCATTACTGAAAAGCTTGACATTTTCCTATGTATGTGCTTTTATTTTGTGTGGAAATATGTGGACTACCCATATGACTAGCTTTCCCCTGCACGGGCCATGTGGAAGAATTACCTGCCCGCAGACTACACAAAGGCAGAACACTGCTGATGTAACTCTAAGGATCCTTACATGTGATTAAAAAAAAAAAATCTGTTGAGGCTGTTTTATTTTCCCTCTGTGGGCATACATCTCTGAAACAATTTTATAAACAAAAGGGGGAGATGGCTTGATGATAAATTCTTGCTTTACACACAACTTTTCAGGAACGCTCCAAATGCATCCAGGGAGGCTGGGCTGTACTCAGAGGCTCTCTCTCTGGCGTGGATTCTGTGGTGCAGAGTGAGGGTTGAGCTCCGGGTGAAGGCCTTGCCACACTTAGTGCACTTATAGGGCTTTTCTCGAGTGTGAATTCTCCGATGCAAAATAAGGTATGAGTTTCGGTTGAAAGCTTTTCCACATTCGCTACATTCATAGGGTTTCTCCCCCGTGTGGATTCTCTGATGTTTAGTGAGGTCTGAGCTCTGGCTGAAGGCCTTCCCACACTCATTACATTCATAAGGTTTTTCTCCAGAGTGGATGCGCTGATGTAGGATAAGATTTGAACTATGACTGAAGGCCTTGCCACACTCGTTACATTCATGAGGTTTTTCTCCTGTATGGATTCTCTGATGTAGGACAAGGTTTGAGTTAAGACTGAAGGCTTTCCCACACTCACTACATTCATAGGGCTTTTCTCCAGTGTGGATTATTTTATGGCGAATAAGGCTTGAACTTCTTGTGAAGCATTTACCACATTCATCACATCTGTGAGACTTTGTTCCTGTTGGAACTTCTTCAGGAGTAGTAAAGTTTGAACTCAGACTGAAGCTTCTTCCCAATCCTTTACCCTTTTCCCTTGGACCTCTCTCTCCTGTGATGGTTTTTTTTTCCTTGACTGTGGCTGGCACCGAATCCCTCCTCTCTTTTTTAGTTTTCTCCTCAGAGTTTTTCTGATGCTTTTCCACTACTTTGCCCTGCTGTTCACGTTTCTCTCCAAGCTCTTTTTGGAATCTCCCTGCTGTCTCTGCACGTGATGCTACATCTTCTGAGATCTCAGCCTTTGAGGTTGACTCCTCATTCTCATTCCTGTTTTCACAACCTGATACAATAAACAGAAAGTTCAAATAGCACCTTTTTCTTTTGAATATATAAGTTAATCAAGTGACATTATTTTCCAAGAAACTTCCACATGCCTGCAAAATGACTTCACAGTATTAATCCAAGATAAATTAGGAGAAAAATAAGTGAAAAAACTGGGACAACAGGAAGTAGAGTTGGAAAATAAGAGGGAAGTGGAAAGACAGGGGACATAGTGGGAGCATGGGGAGATGGTAGAAATACACAGGCACACTGGGAGTGAGCCGAGGGAAGAGAACCGGCCAAGGAAGAAGGGAAGGGATAAGGAATTACGGGACTTCAGTGGTCACAATTCTGTTACTTGATAACTTAATAATTAATGTGAAGAGACAAATACACATGTAAAAAATCATGTTTCATTTCTAACAAATATTCGTAAACTTACAAAAAGAAGACAGGTCTTTCCTAAAAATAGTTAGTGGTATTAGCAGAAAGAAAGAAATATAGTTTAAAAAGCAAATGCAGATACTCCTCCAATTCTGTACTTTATCAACAAGCCAATGATTAATGGGCAAAACAAGAAACTTGTTTTGAACTTGGCAGGCTACAGAGACTTTCAGATACACGAAATAGTTTCTTTCCACCAGTGAGAGCAGCACAGAGCTGATAGTGCTAAAGTAAGAGATGGGAAGTGAAGAAGTCAGTTGGGGCATCAGTCAACATAATTAAAACCTTCACCAACTGACAACCGAGAATAACTGAGAACAGAAAAGAAAATGAAAACAAAATCCTGGAGATAGCTTATGAAGAAGATAGTATGAGAAAATGGAACCTTATAAATATAGAGCTAATCCCCTCATTTTAGCAATCAGTATATTAAAACATTGGAATTTTTATTGTACACTGCTATCATCTGTATATCACCTTTGTTTTTAAGTGAAGACTAATAAAATTTGTTCAATGGTTGTACACTATTTTATATGTTTTTCTATTTGTCTAGGAAAACACTCAGTGTACACTAACTCTATTTTTTATTTATCTCATTTTAGGACACCTTTCAAGGTCTACACTATGCCAAACAGGCCCTGGAATGCACTGACTGAGGGAGCTCAATAATGAAATCCAATTCCTGATTTTTGTGATGAAATCACTATAAATACTGAACCAATTGTAAGAAACAGGAAACTGGTTCACTTCTTCTGAATTCTAAGCCAAGGTCCTCGACCATCTAGACTGTTCCCAGACTGTTCCTAATGTTTTTTTAAGTTACTGAAATGGGTAACATTTAGCTCATAAACACGGGTTAGTCCTTTGGCTTAATTTTCATTTTGTACAAGAGCTCTTTGTACAAGAGCAAGTACCAAAAGAAACTATAAACCCCATTCATAGCTATGATTCAAAACAAAACTTGCTGTGGACTTCTCTATTGCTGTATTTACTTGAGGACTTCTTTGCAGCCTGTCTCTTAGTGGTTAAGATCTAGGGGAGACGAATGTGAATTTTGCCAACTGTGTCAGCTTGTCTCATCTGGCTGATGCCTCTTTAACTTCTTACTTCTTACTACACTCCTAGGACCCGGAACTCTTCCTAGAAGATCACCATTAGGTTTGGAAATTGGGATCCTATTCACAAGGAATGTCCAGGAACAAGCTTATGGAATTACATGGAACTGTCTCTGAGTAGCACTCAGAATGGAAGAAGACAGAAAGCCCATGGAAGGATGCTTGGTAGTTTTAAGAACATGGTGCTGGGATAACAGGTTGGGATTAGACAAATGACCAGTTCACCTGGCCTTCTCTACTAGATAGATATTTCCCTGACAGAGGTACCTAACTGTAACCCATGGGGAGTAGAGCAGAATCCTCCTAGGTAGCTGAGTAGTTGAAGAGGTGAGGACTCAGGGCATAAGAGTTTATTTCTGATCTCAAAGAGCAAAAACTACCTAAAGGCAAAAAATTTACCTGGAATCAGGGTCCATATTTAACTCCATACATTTGGAATTAAACACAAATGTTCTATCTGGTCTGAAGAAAGGGGAACAGGTCAGGCGCAGTGGCTCTTGCCTGTAATCCTAGCACTCAAGGAGGCCAAGGAGGATCACTTGAGGCCAGGAGTTCGAGACCAGCCTGAGCAACACAGCAAGATCCTGTCTCTACTAAAAATAGAAAAATTAGCTGGGCGTGGTGGTGCATGCTTGTCCTAGCTACTCAGGAGGCTGAGGCAGGAGGATTGCTTGAGCCCAGGAGTTTGAGGTTGCAATGAGCTGCAATGATGCCACTGCACTCTAGCCAGGGCGACAGAGACTTTGTCTCAAGAAAAAAAAAAGACAGAAAAAGGGGATCAGCAGTCTCTAAATCCTTATCAACATTTAATTGAATACACCAGAGATCCCATAGCTAACAAATAAGGAGGCAAAATCATGACAGACAATAAGCCTATATCGGTCTTACCCTGGGAAAACATGTTCCCATAATTCTCCTGCCTGTTGTCCCTACTGGGGTTCCTCCGAGCCAGGTTCTGACATCCCCATTCCTCCAGGATGAGGGACACAGCCATGTCCTCGATCTTCACCATTGCCTGAAATAACAGGAGATCCCCACACTCAGTTCCTCCCAAACTGAGGGATAATCCCATTGCCCAGACCTGAGTCAGGCACAGAGCTGACTGCACAGTTATAGGATGCTGGGAAAGAAAAGGCGAAGGTGACCACAGCCTGGGGGGTGGACAGGGTGGCTTGTGGTAGAAAGTCACTACATGGGGGATAAGGCAACCAGAGTAAGTGGCCTGTGTGAAGACCGTAAGAGAGCTCCAGGAAGATACAAGGGACTCAGAAGGGCAGGGGACCCACAGCTCACCTGAGAATCTGCTGTTAACAGTGCAGATGCCATCGCCTGGTCTCTGGGACTCCCCTCATGAGGAGGGGCAGGAACGTGAGTGGCAGGGACAGCTGAGGAAGGAGAAAGGAGCTGTGGGTAAATTAGCTTGGTTCTGAGCTTCCCTCAAAGGGGTCAGGGCACTGTCCTTCCTGGGGCAGCAATGTTCACTATTCAATGTCTAACTACCAAATGGAGAACTCCAGAGAAAAACAAGAGAGAGCAAAGCCTCAGTTTTCTCGAGACCTCTACTCTTAAAAGCAGCAGTCACAAGGAATCATTTAATAAAACAGCCCTTAGAATCACCTGGTTCTACCCTTTTATTTTTAAAGGAGAGGAAATGACTTTCCTGATGTCACTCAGTTAAAGAATGGCAGAGCCAGGACTAAAACGAAGTTCCTACACTCAGCTACAGAAGTGGGTAACATTCAGTCCATGATTCAAGTCGGGGTCCTAATTTACTCCAGTCCAAGGAAGAGGATATGAGAATCCCATTTATATCTACACTTGTGAAAACGCAACACAGCTTTACAATCTTCAGCAGTAATACCTAGAAAGGCAGGGAAGAACCTGTCTTCTTACTTCTGGGTAAGTAGCAACAAATTCAAACTGTTCAAGATAGGCTAAAGCAAATGCACAAAAAAATCAAGTATCTATTTATTTATTTTCTTTAGAGACAGGGTCCTGCTGTGTTGCCCAGGTGGAGTCCAGGGTCTTGCTGTGTTGCTCAGGTAGAGTGCAATGGTGTGATCATAGCTCACTGTCATCTCCAATTCCTGGGCTCAAGTGATCCTCCTGCCTCTGAGCCCTTCCAAATAGTTGGAACTACAAGTGCACACCACTATGCCCAGCTATTTTTTAAATTTTTTGTAGAGTCGGGGGTCTAGCTATGTTGTCCAGGCTGGTCTTGAACACCTGGCCTCTAGGAATCCTTCTGCTTTGGCCTCCCCCAAAGTGCCGGGAATACAGTCATAAGCCACTGCACTTGACTCAAGTACCTAACTTTTTAAGCTTCCTAAACTTCCTTTAAGTTTTCTAACTCCTGAGAGTTAGGAAACACTCTGAAAGATGAATAGGATCAAAGGGAAATTGAGAGTTAACATATATGCCTCAATTCATTAAAAAACTATTTGCTAAATAACAACTCATGTACTAGGATCTCTGAAACTATTATTCTGGCACCCTGAAGCTCTAATCTGGAGCCTAAGACCATGAATATCCTCTCCAATTTCCTGATGTTATCCTGTCATTCCTGCTCATGGAGTGGGCAGAAACCCCACAAGCCCTAGAACAACATCAACAGTAGTAGAGTTAAACAACATAGCACCATTTGACATGAATTTCTCCAGCATGTGTCTGCTGGCTGTCCTCCAGGAGGCACGGAAGAGAGAATGCTTCCTTAAGCTTCACAATCTAATATTCTTACTGTAAATGTGATCAGAAATAAACACACTGGCTCAGTGGCTCATGCCTGTAATCTCAGCACTTTGGGGGGCTGACATGGGAAAACTGCTAAATAAAGGCCAGGAGTTTGAGACCTGGGAGACATTGTCTCTACAAAAAAATCAATCAAACAACCAACCACACAAAAAGACGCAAATCAAAACAAAAAAATCCAAACACACTGGTTAGGGAATGTGCCTTAATCAACTCTTCTTGAACAACTATACAGTCATGTGCTGCACAATGCTGTTTCAGTCAATGATGGTGGTCCTCTAAGATGATAATGGAGCTGAAAAATTTCTAGTAACATCACCTAGTAACATTGTGGTAGTTCAATGCATTATTCACGTATTTGTGGTGATGTTGGTATAAACAAACTTACTGTACTGCCAGTCATATAAAAGTCTAGCACATACAATTATGTACAGTACATAGGCCGGGCGCAGTGGCTCACACCTGTAATCCTAGCACTCTGGGATGCCGAGGCAGGTGGATTGCTCAAGGTCAGGAGTTCAAGACCAGCCTGAGCAAAAGTGAGACCCCGTCTCTACTATAAATAGAAAGAAATTAATTGGCCAACTAAAAAAATAAATATATAAAAATTAGCCAGGCATGGTGGTACATGCCTGTAGTTCCAGCTACTTGGGAGGCTGAGGCAGGAGGATCACTTGAGCACAGGAGTTTGAGGTTGCTGTGAGCTAAGCTGATGCCATGGCACTCTAGCCCGGGCAACAGAAGTAAGACTCTGTCTCAAAAACCAAAAATGTACAGTACATACAACTTGACAAAGATAATGAAGGATGGTGTTACTGTTTTATGTATTTATTATACTATACTTTTATTGTTATTTTAGAGTATACTCCTTGTACTTATAAAAAAAAGTTAACTGTAAAACAGCTTCAGGAAGGTCCTTCAGGAGTTATTCCAGAAGGCACTGTTGTCATAGGAGATGACAGCTGTAAGCATGTTATTGCCCTAATGACCTCCTAGTGGGACAAGATGTGGAGGTGGAAGACACTGATATTGTTGATCCTGATCCCATGTAGGCCTAGGCTAATGTGTGTGTTTGTGTCTTAGTTTTTAACAAAAAAGTTTAAAAAGTATAAATAATTTTTTTAAATAGAAAAAAGTTTATAGAGTAAAAATATAAAAAAAGAAAATATTTTTGTCCCGCTGTACAATGTATTTGTGCTTTGAGTATTATTACATAAGAGTTCAAAAGTTAAAAAAAAAATTAGTGTAGTCTAGTATACAGTGTTTATAAAATCTATAGTGATATACAGTAATATCCTAGGCCTCACATTCACTCACCGTTCACTTACTGACTCACTCAGAGCAACGTCCAGTCCTGCAAGCTCTATTCATGGTAAATGCCTTATACAGGTATACCATTTTTTACTTTTTACATGTTTATCTTGTTCTTTTTCTGTTTTGATATGTTTGGATACACAAACACCACTGTGTTACAACTGCCTACAGTATTCAGTACTGTAACATGCTGTGCAGGTTTGTAGCCTAGGAGCAAGAGGCTATATTGTATAGCACAGGTGTAGAGTAGGCTTTACCATGTATGTTCGCTCTGATGGTCGCACGGTGATGAAATCACCCAGGGATACATCTCTCAGAACGTATCCCTGTCATTAAATGACGCATGACTATGCTTTTACCATTTCATTGTTTTTACTGACATACTATGCATCTACTTTGATTTTAAAATTTGATAAAGATATGTATTTCTCTCAAAGGGAAAAAAACCAACACTAATTTTTATTTATATGACCGTGAACTGATTTTTTTTTCTCATGTTCCTAAAACTCCACAAAACATTTTTCCATTCTTTCCCACTGTTTGAAATTTTTGAAAATAACCTAGAAAAGAGTGATGCTGTATAATATTTTTATATATTTTAAAGAAAATGGATCTTTAAAAAGATTTATGATCCCTTTAAAAATAATTTATAACATACTAGAGTGTTTCAAAACCTAGGGTGGAAATAACATTATCTGTTCTCAATACTTTCCTATTAAAAATGTGCCAGACATCTGGAATGCTAACAATTCAATAAATAATGTTTATCAAGTTCATTATGCACAGTTCACTTACCTCCATAGTAACAGCATTTAACTTCTGAGATTGGTCTGTAAATTATATTTTCCCTGATATTTAGTAATAATGACAATAATGAATAATAACAAAAACAAGCATGCTCCTTTATCATAAGCACTTAGCTTCACAGACAGGGCACTGTCATCCTGAATAATTTATTTTTCCCCCCAGACGAAACCTTGCTTCTTACCCCGTGATTGTAAGAGGCGGGGTTTCCGAGATGAATGTTTGAAATGAGACTGGGTGGCCTCGTGATGAAGGTCAAAGCTCGAGGACTCCTGAACTGGATCCAGAGGCACTATCCCCCTTGCAAGCATCTCAGGTCCATGAACTTGACCCGGGACCTGAAGACAAACAGGTTGGGCTTGTGGGTAAATCACTTTTAAAATAAGAATTAAAATATTAAAGAAAGACCATAAGTATTCCAGGGAGGAGGAGGCCAGAACACTTTTTAATATCCAGAAAGAGCAGGCAGAAAAACCACCACAAGGACTACTACTATTACTATTAACCCTGGCTTTAAATCAGTAACTTTCTCCTAGCACCAGTCTCAAAGTCCACACCCTGCTCACACATAATAGGTTTCATCTCTTTTTACCTGCTGTCCTGACAAATCAAGCTCCAAGTCTTCTAGAAGGGTCACAGCCTCCTCTCCACTATCAGGGCGGTATTCCTGCAGCCAGACTTGGAGCTCCTTGGGCAGAATGGAAAGGAACTGCTCCAGCACCAGCAGCTCTAGGATCTGCTCTTTGGTGTTTATTTCCGGTCGCAGCCACTGATGACAAAGTTCCTTCAGTCGACTCAGAGCCTCTCGAGGCCCAAATGTGTTCTGGTAACAGAAGCGCCTGAAACGTTGGCGGAATATCTCTGGGTCCAGAGGAGGTGTCTCCTGTTGGCTGGAATCCTGCCCCCACATGTGGTCTTCCTCATCTTCCTCTTCTACCTTCACTATCACGATACCATCCTTTTCCTGTGCGGCCTGGGGGGACAGCCCCGTAGCTTCCCTTGATTCAGCAGTCATCCTTCAGGCTCAGGGAACTGACTTGATCCAAACAGGGTTTGTGCTCGACTTTCAGGCCTAGATGTTTTATGATGGCTCTTCCTGTACTATTCCTGAAGTATTAAAAATAAGTTATTAGTATGTACACAGTGACCTGTGCTGCTGACGCTACACACCAGGCTGCACATCAAGGCACTGAGAATACTTCTGAATGACAGTGGAAAAAACGACTGCAGAGCTGTACTGTCTTCACTGTCACTTCATAAATTAAGGTTTGCAAACAGAAACCTCAAACTGGCGAACTCCACCCTCATGGTGTTTTCCTGGAGTCAGAGCAACCGACCTCCAAGTGGACAGCAGGTTATGAACCCAGCACTGATAGTACTTAGCCCAGTGAGAGCTGAATGCCTGCAGCATGCCAAGCTTAAAGCAGTACGTGCTCAATCTTCTTTTACCCCACCACAACCCTAGCAGGTAGACAGACCTGTTAGTGCAATTTCACAGATGACATAAATTGAGGCTTAGGTTTGCTCAGGGGCAAGTGGCTACCTGGTGGAGTCAATATTCAAGTCAAATTTGAGCCTTGGAACTTGCTAATCCATCATCTAGCCATTTTTACTATTTTTATGGGTGCCTTGGTCAGTCTAAAGCTGGGGATTCCAAAGTACAAGATGATCCACTAGAGATATGGAAAGAAAATATCAGAACGTCTATATTTTAAAAGCGAGAGAAATTAAGCCACATTTAACATACAAATTGACACTAACATGCTCACTCTGTCTAAATGTTGAACTGTCACATGTCACATAGGGTATCTGTTACATCCTGAGGGAAGAGTGAGCCTCCTTTTCACCCACACCCCCTGGGGCTGCCAAGGTGCTCTCACTTGCTTGCTCACTTTATTTATTTTTTAAAGACGGGTCTTGCTCTGTCACCCGGGCTGGAGTGTGATCAGGCTGTGGTAGTGTGATCATAGCTCACTGCAGCCTCGAACTCCTCGGCTCCAGCTTGCTCACTTTTAGATACTATTATCTGAGACCAGTTATATGAAATGATATATTTTAAAAATCTACCTTTAATTTATCTCACCTTCATAAAAGAAATAAACAGTTTTAAAAATTTTTGTAGAGAAATTTCAATTAGAGGAAATACCAATGATGTCAACACAAGTGAACAAGAAAATGGCAGAGCTAAAGCTTCTCTCTAGAGCAAGGTCTTAGCTAGATTAGGAAGTCAATCTAAGTCAAAGTTACCAATGAGTGAGAAAATAGCTGCTTAAAAAAAATGTGATAAAAGAATAGTTTTGAACATATATATGAAATGTTTCCATTGTTATGTAACTTTAACTGCCAAAAATGATAATAAGTATCCTGGAAAAACCCTTCTATGTTCACATTTTAAAAACTTGAATATTTTCTAACCTATTTTAAAATCTTTCAAATGAAGAATCTTAGTAGGTCTTAAGCCCTTTTGTTAAAAATATAAAACACTACCTTCTGACTAGTTTGTAAGAACAAGTGATTTAAAGTCATGGAAGATAAAAATATACTCTGAATTTTAACAACAAAAATTTAGCATGGTTGGTGGACAGGACCAGTCATGAGTTATTAATACTAAGCAAAACTGACAATGTAGCTCTTCCATCTGAATCTACAAATCTTTGCCAAGTATCTTTTTCACCTTTATGGCCATCAAAACTAAGCATCAAATTAAAGTTTTAGAAACAGACCATTTAATTACTTTACCACAATGAGTTAAACCAAAAGTTTTAAACTAGCAAAACATTTTTAATTACATGGCTCTCACTAAAAAAAACCCCTCATTAATAATTTTGGTGGAAAAGGGATCATGTACACTTAAGAGCACAAAAATCATCTTAAAATAGCACAATTTATTTTTTGTCTTACTACACAAAATATTGATGGAATAGTATAATAATACACATATGTAGTTTTAATAAACATAGTTATTTTTACTGACAGGAATGTAACCAAAAAAGTTTGGAGATGACTGTTTTACTCACAAAGATTATGATTTTAATCTGAGATTTACCACAGGACTAGTTTTTCTATCTCATTTTTTTTTTTTTTTTTTTTTTTTTTTTTTTTTGCCCAGGCTAGAGTGAGTGCCGTGGCGTCAGCCTAGCTCACAGCAACCTCAAACTCCTGGGCTCAAGCAATCCTCCTGCCTCAGCCTCCCGAGTAGCTGGGACTACAGGCATGCGCCACCATGCCCGGCTAATTTTTTTTTATATATATATCAGTTGGCCAATTAATTTCTTTCTATTTATAGTAGAGACGGGGTCTCGCTCTTGCTCAGGCTGGTTTTTGAACTCCTGACCTTGAGCAATCCGCCCGCCTCGGCCTCCCAAGAGCTAGGATTACAGGCGTGAGCCACAGCGCCCGGCCTATCTCATTTTTTTGTCCTTAATGAAAACTAGAAATTCTTTTAAAAATAAGTCTATAATAATAATAATGAACACTACAGTTGAGCTGCCCCTCCACATCTGTGGGTTTTGTATCTTCAGATTCAACCAACCATGAACTGAAAATATTCAAGAAAATAAAAAATAACACAAAAAATAATACAAATGAAAAATACAGTGTAACAATTACTTACATAGCATTTATACTATATTAGGTATTATAAGTAGTCTGGATGATTTAAAGTACATGGGAAGATATACGTAGGTCATATGCAACTATTACCCCATTTTATATCAGATACTTGAGCATCTGTGGATTTTGGTACAGGGTCGTAGCAGTGTATGTGTCCTAGAACCAATCCCTTTGTGGATACTGAGGGACAATTATATATTCACAAGAGGCTTTCTACATAAAATGTTAAGAAAACCTGGGAATTAAATCATTTCTCCAATGACTTTAAACTAGTGAAAGTCCTATTGCAAACTATTTTCTAACCCTTCCCATGGATTCCTTCAGACCTGTTATATACCCCCACCCTCCTTGCTGGGGTAAATATATTTGGTTTTTTAACTTCAGATCAGCTTTACTCTTACATCCTTACAGCTACAATTATTCCATTTCCTACACATTTTCTGCATATCTACAATATGCAAGGTGTCCTGTTAAGACTAGGAAGAATAAAAAGAAAAGCATGATTTTGACCTTCATACAAATACTTATAGTACAAAGCAGAATGTTCTAAAGGGGCTTGCTAGAGGAGCCCTGAGAGGTAACTGATGGACCAAAAAGGGAGCTCCAGGAAGAGGCCTCCCTGGAGCTGGGGCATTGAAAACAAGAGGCAGGGACTAATTGGGCCTCTGGTGAGCTTTTTCTCAACTAGAGGCTAAACAGTTACGCTCAGCCTTTTTCATTCTGAAAAGCAGAAAGACTGTATCTTTTCCTGTTATGCTTCTCACCCTTACTTCCCACCACCCTAATTCAGGTTCTCTATCTCCTGCCTAGACTAGCGCCATAAGCCCCATATAGCTTCTGTAGTTCCAATTTCTCCCTGTTCCAATACACACAACAGACCAATGTCAGTGCAGTATTGCAAAAGCATGCTTCCAGTCATGCCCTCCTACCCCACTTACTGTCAGTGAACCCCTGATGACATTCCTAAGCCTTCAATCACACACTCCCATCTACTTTTCCAGTCTGACTTCCCACCAATTTTTTTAGTAGTGCTCTCTCCTATTTCAGCCTATCTGGCCCATGAGTGTTCCCCAAGCATGGGCCATGAGTTTTCATCTTCACCTCTTTGCTTTCCCACCATATCAACTCTTTTGGTCAAATTGTTATTCACCCTTTGAGATGCACAAATCCCTCCTGACATCCCAAAGTAAATAACATATCTTCCTTCTTTGAACCTCCTTAGTACTATCTTTGTTCCTATCTTATGGCACTTATGGTCTCCTTCTAGTATCATTATTTGGGTTGCAGTTCCCGTCCTACTTGCCAACTAAATTTTAAGCTCCCCAAGGACAGGGGTTCTTGTCTTCTTTGTGTTATCTTTGTACTTTTAAAGAACCTGGCAATTGAACTCTGTTAAACTGAACAGATATTAGGGACTATCCAAACTATTCTAGCTCCCCCTGCCATCCTTTTGTGGCCTTCAAATTTGGATATTTTCCTAATAACTCTATTACTCAGGCTCAAAACCCCCTCTTCTTTGATTCCTTCCTCCTTATATGCATTCAGTCTCCAAGTACCAGGGAGAAGTAATTCTTTGCTCATACTTATTTTTTGATCTAATCCCATGAAGTCCAGATTCCTCTCCTTGGTTTCTCCCTACCCTCCCACAATCCATCCTATAGCTCACTTTAAGATTATTCTGTCTAAAACTCTACAGCTATGCAGTCAATACCCTCCAGTGCTTGGTCCCAATTTCTCCTCAAGCTACATTTCCCATCAATCCCCACTATGAACCTTCTCCATTCAGCAAAAGGAGTCTAATCAGTATTTCCTACATATGCCTCATATCTTGACTGCCATCCTTTCCTCAAATTATATTCAATGTCTCAGATTTCCTCTCTATTCCTGCCTCTTCAAATCCTATTATCCTTCAAAGCTAAGCTAAGATCGCACTTGCCTCTTATTGGTGTCCAAGAACTCTCTAATGGATATAATAGTAAGAACCAACATTTATTGAGTGCTTTCCAGGTACCAGGTATTATATTAAGCATTTCACTTGACCGCACAACTATCGTAGCACGTAGCTATTATCCTCTCTCTTTATAATGAAAGAACTGAGGTTTATTGCCATTAAATAACTTACCCAAGGTCACACAGCAAGTAAATGGTACAGCCAGGATTTGAAATTAAGTCTGTGACTCTTCAGCTCAAGTTCTTTAGTCATTATACCAAATTTATCCTGTACCCAACATGTGCGGTAAGAAGGGGCTTCTATGTACACACCGATTCTTCCTAAAATGAAGCTCTTCATGAAAGTGACTATGAAGAATGACCACTCCGGAATGGGCCTCTTCTACATCCACTCTTTTTACCAGAGGGTCACTATGTGACTGAAGCCCTCCAGGAAAAGGGAGGAGACACAGCAGGAGATGCAATGGGGACTGTCTACATTATCAGGTAGGTGCTTCAACAGGATAATTGAGTAGGACTAGTATGGTAGCTAGCCCAACCATCCTGTCTCAGCTAGGGAGCAGGATACTGTTTGGGTCAGTGAGAATCAACAGAAAGGGACTCTTAGGAGGAAGTGAGCCCAAAGGACCAAGATAAGGGCATAATAGGCACATTCCCTCTGCCCCCTATTGGGACAGGTCCCGTTCCCCTGCACTCAATATTTTTCTGTTCCTCCTCTAAGCTAGAGAAGAGCCACAACAGCAGTGAAAGGGCTGGGTTTTATTCTAGTTTTCCCAGATGATCTGAGCACACAAATCTCTCCAGCCTCTTAAGGCCCCAATGATCTTCATAAAGCTTTTACTATGTAATTTCTTATGATGTTTCTTACTCTGTAACTTAATTTTTCTTGTTTTCTTCCTCAACTAGACTATTGTTAAAGGTATGCTTCTTTGAATGTCTTAGATCACTTAGCACGATTGCTTGCAAGCATTAGTCTTTAAAAAATAATTGGCTGGATTTACAATGTTACTGTTTTCTGTCCATTCATTCTGCATTCAATCTTGTCCTCGAATTTGTTCCACCAGCTATTTGGAAGAGTTTCATGTTAGCATTAAAGCTGCTCCACCACTTACTAGTTGATGACCTTATGCAAGTTAACCTCTCTATGCATCAGTTTCCTCATTTGTATAATGGAAATAAGAAATAGTATTTGCCTCACAGAGTTGTGAGGATTAAATGGCTTAACATATATCAAGCACTTAAAACAGTCTCTGGCATTTAGTTATTGCCAGAGAAATGTTTGATTTTTTTCAATAATATTCAGAGATGTACCTGTACATTCTAATTTTCAGCCTGCTTATAGAAGATTGCAAGCAATGGGGGAAATCCTGTAATAGTGAAAGTAGCATAGGCTAGAACAACTGAATTCTAGCTTCCCACAAATAAGTTAACATATCCTGAGTGAGTTATTTACCTTCTTCTGGACTCAGTATTCTTATCAGTCAAGAGGTTGAGAGGAGTTCCAAATAGTAATAAACTATCTCTGAGGTTGCTCTGAGCTGAAAAACATTCTGACATACCATCCACTTTAGATGAGAATACCCCCAGCAACCATGGGATAACTGCAGTTCTCACCAAGGATAATTATAAAACGATTTTCTTAGAGAAAAGGCTTGAAGTTACAAGCTCAGTATATTTCAAAGGTTGTTTTCTCAACAGCCCAGTATTTTTTCCAGGGCAGTCTTGCAAGTTTAAATAAATTGCCCCTCTACCATCATTTTTTAACAGAGCTATAAAATGTTGTAATATGAAAAAACTACCTTAAAAGACAGGTAGCTACTCAAAGAATATTTGTACTACAGAATGAAAAGACTTAACATACCACTAATCTGTATTTAGATGTAACATAAAACATTAGAAAAATGTCATTAATAAATGCTCAGATCAAATATAATCAGCAAGACTACAGTATTAAGTAGCTAGCTTCCCTGTTGGTATTCTAAGATGGTGAAAACTGCCTGACATAATGAACAAGAATCTTGCATAATAATTCAGAGAGGATACAAACCTGGAGAAACATTCTGGGGCAAATCTTCATTATAGTTCTCTATGTAATAAAGCTATTTCTCCACATCTGGCCAGCATATACACTAACAGTGCTTCGTTGATGTGGTTACAATGAATCCGCCACAATTCAATTCAACAAGTATTTATTGACCGCCTCCAATCCGCCTAGCACTGGCCCGTACAATAAATGCTTTCTTTGGTCCCAGGCCATGGAACAGCCACTCTCTATAATGAAAGTATCTTATTGTGTACCGGAGGCACAGCAGGAGAGGGAGGGGGAAGGGGGAGTGTCAGGCTAAACTGTAGTTGAGTTTTTCAATTACACTGACTTTAATCAAATCATTTCAAAATTGGAAGGGCCTTTGGAGAAAATCTAGTTAATTGTATTGATACAAAATTGAGAGTTGGCATCTTGTCTTATCCAAGGTCACTCTCCTAATGGCCCACTGCTATTTCTACAAATTCCTTGCACTCCTCACCCATTCCAAGTCAAGCAGAGTAACTACTCAGAACTGAAAAATCCACCTAATCTCCCAGACAGCTCATTTTAAAATGGCCTTTATAGCATTCCACAAAGCAAAAAGAGAGAGGTGTATATAATAATTTCTACTCGATCCAATTCACTTCTTTATCCACTATGACTAGGCTTCAAGTACTCTTCAATCACTGTTCATAAGTGGGGGTGAGGTGAAGAAAAGCAGGTGATCTGGAAACGTATGCGGCACCTCAAAATGTGTCCATCTCTCGGCCTTCCGCATTTTTCACCTCCAGGTCCTGAAGGACCCAGAAAAAAAAAACCTCTCTCACTGGAATCAATGCAAATGGCGATGGCAGGAGAGCAGAAAAATCAGAGAGGGATCGATTTGCTCGTGACCCCTTTCTCAGAAACGTCAAACCACGATGACGACACTGCAGGCGACGACTTCTCCCCAGGTCTCCAAGCACCCCGGGCCACTGAAACCATCGCCCCCTCCTCGCCTGGACCCGGGGGTGGGGCGGGGACGTCTCCCCGGGAGACAGCGCTGCCAACGGCTGGGCCTGGGAAGGAAGCAGGGGCACCGACACTCTTCGCACTCCGCCAGGGCCACAGCTGCAGCGCCCACCCTCACGCACACACCCCAGCGGCGCCGCCCGCCCACCCCAGAGGCCGGCCCCAAGTCTCACCGTGAGCCCGGGGAGCGGCCTGGGGGCGCTGGGCGAGAAAGGGGAGCTGACTCTGGGGCTCAGGCCGGCCGAAGGGCACCGCACACCAACCTAGGCCCTCCGACGCCTCGAAAGACACAATGAGTCACAAAGGCCGGAAGTGTGTCAGCCTCTCGCCTTCCGGGACTGCGCTGCACTTCTGGGTCCTCTCTAGGAGCGCGGGAGGACTTTGCATCTCGGTTCCCGAGTCGCCGGGCTGGAGCCCCAGTCCTTGCGTGGTCAATCCTCCAGCTTTGAGGTTCCGGCCCTTGGCCGTTGCCAGTTAATGTGGGGACCAAGGACGGGGTGGGGTAGTGCAGACTTTCCCTGTCACAGACTCTCCAGCTGAGACACTAGTCCATGTGAGAATTTGATTTCTCTTGTCTTTTCCATCTCTGGCAGTCCTTGTGGTAATTATAGTTATTATCGAGCAATAATAATACTTAGTAATTGTATGTCTATGGCAGAGGAACTGAAACAAGGGTGTAGACAGAGGAAGATCAAAGTGAAGCCAGGGGTGGCTGATTTCACAAAGCTGCCGTGGTAGCTTCTCCCAGTGCCCTGGAGATGTGCGCCAATTGAGTGGGTGGTATTTTCATATACTTGGCCTGTGGACAAGGGATGTCTTTTCACAAGCAAGCTAGTTATAAGATTGTGTGTTTCCCTCATGTGGCATATGCTATTATAGCAATTTAAAAGGAGTTTTCAGAGTAATAACAGACACTTTTGCCTTCGAGGTGCTTTCACAAACTACCACAATTACAACCTTCACTGTTGCTTTGCAGGGTAAGGCAGGAATAAGGATCCACTTTGTGTAAGGGTGACCACAGACTTCAATGGTTGTGACTTTCCTCTACTGTTCCAAGACAAGTTCATGGGAAAGACTGAACTGGTAGCTTGGTTGCATGACTCCTACTGCTTGGGGGGATTTACTTTTTAAATAAAATGCTTGAAAACTACAAAGCAATTACAATATCATTAAAGGAAATTTGCAAAATGGAGAAAAGTAATTATATTTCTTTCACCCTAACTCAACTATGACAGGTTTAATTTATCCTTTTCCTATCTGTTTTCATATATAAGTAACTATATGTTTATGTTATTTTAAATATTGTTCAAAACCATAGTTGTATTGGAGAGGTGGCTGGTATGCTGGAAGTAGCTGCCACATTGATACCATGTGATCACTTTTGGGACCTGAGCTGATTGGATCAGGTGTGGGAGTGATGGCAGCACAGCTAGTACCTGTGCTGACCAGTAGAACTAGGAAGTGGCCTGGCCTGAGAGCTCCCATTACTGGACCAGTAGTGACTAATTGAAGCCATGAGGTTCTCTTTCTTGGGGATTTTAAATGTGAGACACACAGAGAAAATGGGGGGGGGGGGAGCAAGCAGAAATTAGTAAGCAGAAGCCATCAGGTGACAGAAGGCAGGAGGCAGTGGAAGGAAGTCATGAGTAAGCAGAGGCTCACTTGTGGTGGAGAATAAAACCAAACAGCTACAGCGACAAAGACAGTGAGGGGCTGGCACAGGACCATGGCAGAGCACACAGATGGGAACCCAGGCACCTAGTACTAAGGACGCACAGCTTAAAGAGGGGATAGCCTGCATAACCTTCAGGCCTCAAACAATGTTTTATTCTCTGCATAGCTTGACTTAGCTGCAGATACCATTGTGCTCTGTCTTCCTACTTGCCTGCATGTCCTTACAATAAATCCCTTGCCAACAAAGGAGTCTAACTTTGTTCCTTGGCCCCTGGAGAAGCCCAGCATAATAACTGATGTGAAATCATGTGTACTACTTAAAAACAAATAATATCATATTAACATTTTAAATTTTGCTACACAGAGTGGATGCTTATCATTTTATTATCTATAGTAGTCCAGCAAGTGGCTATATTATTATTTAATATTTCCCCTATTTCTAGACCTGTAAAAATTTCAGAGAGTTTTCCCTAAATTTTTCACACAATGAGTGTGTGTGTGTGTTACTTATTATTCTTTTCTGTACCTGTGGTTACTGAGCAAAGCAGTGTAGTAGAGGGAATGAGAGATGGACTTAGAAGGCTGAGCCCTGGCCTGGGCCTTTCTAGCTGAGTGGTCACAGGCAGGTTCCTTATCTTCAGTAAGACACATTCATTTTATCTATAAAGTGGGTATAATAATAATGCCTATCTTTTAGAGTGGTTGTGAGAGTTAAATGCAATGATCTTTGTAAAAGTACTTCTTCAACTATAAAAGGCCACAGAAATGTTATTATTATTTATTGGAAAAGCCAGGAAAATAAAAGTGCATTTAATCAAGAATAATGAAAAAAAGACAGATACATTCACTTGCTGCTTACTTACGTTTGTACCCATGATTTTTTTTTAACTTAAAAAAAATTTTTTTTTTTTTAGAGATCGAGTGTTGCTCTGTTTCCCAGACTAGAGTATGGGGGTTCAATCATAGCTCACTGCAACCTCAAACTCCTGGACTCAAGTGATCCTCCTGCCTCGGCCTCCCAAAATGCTGGTACTACAGGCATGAGCCACAGCACTCACCCCATCTTTTCTATATGCTGCCTCCTTTTCCATATGCAGCCCCTTCCTTCATCTTCAAAACCTAACAGCATAGCATCCTCAGATCTCTAACTCTGCTTCTGTCCTTATATATTCTCTCACTCTGAGACTCCTGCCTCCTTCTTATAAGGACACCTGTGATTACATGGAGCCCCTCTGGATACTCCAGGATAATCTTCTCATCTCTAAATTCTAGATTGAATTTGTAGTCTTTTTTCCTGGGAAAGGTAACATGTTCACAGCTTTCAGGATTAGGACATGGATATTGTGTGTGTGTGTGTGTGTGTGTGTGTGTGTGTGTGTGTGTTGGGGGAGGGTGGGCATTATTCTGCTACCAGAGCTTCAAACCCTGCCTGCTGGCTGTGTGTCCAGCTACCAGGTCCTGGGCACCTATGAACTCACACCCCCAGGCTGCACCTATAGCTGCTGCAGCCATAATCACTGCTTTGCCACCAGCTGCCACCCTTGTTGGCCTGCTGTCACCACCGCTGAAGCTGTTGCTACTGCCACTACCCCCGCAGGAAATGACACCAGCTTCTCCTGTTGGCAAAGGAGGCCAGAAAGTGTAATTTGCAAGGTCCTGGAATTCTTCCATGTGGAATGGAACATGAAAAGGAGGGAGTCTAGCTGTGAGCTGAGAGTGGGCGGGCAGACAGCCAGCAAAGTCCATTGCTTGGGTGTCTCAGCATTCATTCTTACCCTTTCATCCAGATTTAACTTCCACACAGCAGCAATAACAATGTTATGTTCTTCCTTAATATACAGCAACTATCCTTCATACAAATGAAATGCTTTGGTACTTTTTTGCAAAGTCCCATTAGTTACTGTATACAACAGTGGGTAGTATTAAATTGTTTTCTAGTTCAGTTCCAATCTCACCTGTATAGTCTGTAACCTAAAATCTAAATTGTAAATTAACTGCTCCAGATGGAAAATTAACAATATTATTTCTATAAAACAATAGAGGAAACAAAGAGAGGAACAAGGAATGATTAGTGAATTCATAGAAATATATAAATACATATAGAAATATAAAATATAGTACCAATAAGGAAGAAAATATGCCTGGTCTTCTTTCTATAATATAACTCATCAACAATTGGTTGCCAATTGTTGGGGTAATTGGCAACCAACCTGGAAAACATAAAACATTAGATGTGCACTTTATACTTGTATCAAAATAAATTCCAGATGGACTAAAAATTTAAGTGAGAACTATAAAACCATATGAGTAATAGGAGAAAAAAGGCATGATCTTTCATACACATTAGGGATGGGGGAATTATTAAGCTTGACACCTGGGGGAGTATTTGTGGACTTGTCTGCCCAAAGACAAGGCAGATTTTGAAGTTAAAATCCTCCTCTCTGGAGGAACCTCTCCCCATCCCCACCATGGACATGTGGTTTGAGTAGGAGATGTCATGTCCTCATGTGACCTCCCCCCATACTGGCCACAATGGCTGGTCTAGGTGAGCTCCTTGTCCAAGCCGGGCTAGTCATTCCTCTGGCCATTAATCAAAGTCACCTTTAGATTCTTTGAGCCTCTCTCTGTTCATGAAACCAAGGACATATGTGTTCCGGCCCTGCCTTTGGAGGTGATTCTAGCTTTCTGGATATAGTCAGAGTGAGAAAATAAAGCTGACAAGGAGATAAAAGTAAGTTGTGAAGCAAAGAGAGACCTGGAGATGCTTGTCCCTGTTTCTTGTCGTGCTATATCACACCTCTCTTCTTTCTAGTCTGGGAGTTAATCAATTCTCATTTTTGCCTAAGCTTATTTTAGCTCAATTTCTATTACTTCCAACACAAAGACTCAACTCAAACAATACCAGAAACAGAAACCATAAAAAACAATAGGTTTTAAAATTAAAATGCATTTAAAACCAGTTTTTAAAAAGAAAAAAATACCACATAGCAGAATTAAATTACAAAGTTAATCACAAAATTAAAAGACAAGTGAGAAAAATTTGCTGCACACATGACAGATGCTTTCGGCTGTTTTCCCTCATGTTCTCGAGATGGCTGCTACAGTTTCGGTCATCTCTTCT